GGAAGAGGAAATATTAGCTAAGGCACACTCATGACAGAGTGCTGTGGGCATTCTGCAAAACAATGTTTTTCTAGTTCAGTGCACACGTTCCCATTGAGAGCATGGGAGTGTTACACAATTTGTGGGCACAAAGTTAAAATGTTTGGGACAGCCTGCACAGCATTAAGGAGGAGTATTTGGGGATTTCATATTTACTGTTGAACTTACGCTTCTTTGTCTGAAATACTGACCTATGCCCCCCACCGGAAACCCAAGCAGTGAATAAAGGCCGCAGCCTAACTGTAGTAATGTAGTATGCTGTCTCTCCTATTCATGTGGTTGAATGAACAAAAAAAAAAGGTGCATATCAGCACCAGTGTACAGATGCTGGTTATTCAAAAAGCTGGGACCCAAAGCCAAGGCTAAAGTTTTGGAGACACATGTTAATCGTATAGTGGTAATTAAAACGAATTGTTTTTTGTTGCTGCTGTTGTTGTTGATGCTACTGACATTACTTCCCTCAGTGGACCAGTCGAGGGTCTCTGAAGCTGTTCCTACTTCTCACCTCCTTTCCCTAACCTGAATAAACAGAAAGTGCTGCCAGTTCCTTCCTCCATGGCCAGGGATCTCTAAACCAAATGGACCCAAAAGCCTTTGGAACAGTAGTAATAGGGCTGGGCTGGGTAGATGAAACCCTGGTATTACCATAAAAGACCAATCATTTTCATTTGGATGTGTAAGTTCTGCTGCAGTGTTTAAAAAACCTATTATTTTGTCTTTCTGGATTTGTGTTTTAGAATAAATCTTATAATGTATTATAAAGCATGTCACAGAAAACAGGTTTGTATTTTTTTGTTCCTTTCCTAACCGTGAACATTTTCCAAATGATGATGTTTGTTAGGGGATACTGAGTGAGGTCTTAGAGATGGAGAAGATTCAGGGCCGTGTCTAATATACTGACTTCAAGTTTCGTTTGGAAGAAACATAAAAAGAAGGTAAACCTAGAGAAGTTCAATGACTTGACCAACATTACTTGGTCAGCTGGTGGCCAAAGACCACAAACTTAGCTTCCTATATCACCTTTGGCCTTGATTATCTATTATCCAGGCAATAGAATTTTAACTCAAACATAGTCCATTAGTCACCTAATCTACATGTCAGCCCTACTAAGTAGGTATCACTGCACTCAGTTTACTCATGAGGAAACTTACGTCATAGATTAAGCCACTTGCCAGAACCATAATGACAGCGACCGTAAGGGGTAAAGAGGTACATCAAAGACCCTTGACTGACACCTGACACAGAGCTCAGGTCTTGGAAATGACGAGATGGTCTTTGCCACCACGGACGGGTCTAGGAAAGGTCTGCATTAGAAAAACGATCAAGTTTCCTCACTAATCTCTGCGTTTGCAGGCTTAAACTGAACACAAAGCAGAAGCAGAAGCTGGCAGTTTTGGCTTGCCGACCTTACGATACTTGGTTAGCCTATTCTGAGGTGTTACAGCTGCCAGGAGACAGCTTCTTTACACAATTCTACAATGTGGAATTTTTTTCCTTTTGATGCTGAACACCCCACTTGTTGATTAGCTCCAGTCAAGGAAGCTGACTCCACTTTAGCTGTGTTAGCAGAAAAGAGTACAGAAGTAAAAATCTGAAGGTTGACGCTTGCATTTGCTGAGTTCGCTCTTTACCTCTTAGCATAGAGGGAGGTCCCAGAATAATTACTAACTCATTACAGACATTCAAGATGATGAAAGTGGTCAGGGAGGTTACCTTGAGATGATGGTCCCTAGAGGAAAAACTCAGGCTGTGAGGGGTATGCTAGCCTTGTTTGTACCGATGGGGGAAGTGTGGAGAGTTGAGGTATCCTTGAGTGTAAAGAACAATTTAAGTTCTGAGTGAAAGTATTATACTCTTATTATGGCCATGGCCATGTCAAGAACCAATGCCTCAGACCCTAGAGTAAAGGCCAGAGGGATAGTAAATCCTTCCTCTAAGTGGGAATGTTGGCAAGTGTGTGCCAAACCTATCAATTGCAGCTTCCTCCTCCCAAGTGCCTACAGCCTGAGACTCCTGTCTACAGACACGTCCCATGGTCCTAGCCAACACCTCCCCTATGCTGCATGTAACAAACCATAAGCAAGCTGAGTTTCAGGTTTTGAATAGCTGGTCTCCTCCATCAAAGCTCACACAACCCACCCTATACCAGCTTCTCCACCCACGTATCTTTCCCTTCTTCATCCTCCAGCACCCCAGACAGGTTTCCAGGACCTTGCCTTGCAGGACTCATCAGAGAGGGACATTCTTGGTGAAGTGAGTAGTGCCCCAGGGTAGGCGGTGTGAGCATGTGGCTGTAAGTGCAATTAGACCTGGTCAAAAATAGCTAAAGTAAAAGGAGAAAGAGAGGGGAGGGTATCTCGGCCACAGTGACGCATGCACATGTGTGTGCATATTGTGCACGTGTGCAACTCGTGCAACTTGGAGCGATCAACCGTATGTATTAGAGGCCACTAAGATTGACATCCTCCCTTACCCTTGATTCCTGTCAAAAGCCGATTGTGCCGCTCACTTGAAACGCCACGGCGGTGATGCCACCCATCAAGATGAAGGGTCAGTTACTAGAGTGCAAAAACACGCTAACTAACGGAAAGAAGTACAGAGACAGGTCTGTAGAAAAATGTCGCAGTGAAAGGCATCACTCTAAATTCTAACCTAAAAAAAGCAGCGAGGGGCTGGGTAAAATGCTTGTTGCACAAGTATGCGAACCCAAGTTTGGGTGCCCACAGCCTCTGGAAAGCTGGGCTCCGTTGTGCGCATCTGTAATGCCAGCACTCTGTGCTAACTTGAGGTCAGAATCCCTTGACACTTGCAGCCCAGACAGCCTGTTGTAGGCAGGAATGAACAAGACAGCCTGCCTCACACAAGGTGGAAGGTGACGACTGACACCTGGGCTTGTCTTCTGACTTCCACACAGACACATTGGCATGTGCCTACTGAACACACACACACACACACACACACACACACACACACACACGCACGCACGCACGCACACGCAGCACGCATGCACACTCACACGCACACATGTGCACACTCACACGCACACATGCGCACACTCACACGCACACGCACACACGACCTCTTCTGTAAGTGTCCCGCTTGCTCAAGAAAGACTATGAGGTAAGGCAAGGTGGCTACAGCCACACAGGGTTCCGAATAACTGAATGAACTTAATGCGTCAAAGCCCCAAACAAAATAAAACCCTCTGATTCCTAACAGCCTCTTGGTCACTGGCTGATAACATGGGTTTCACCTGTAGAACCTGTAGTTAAGCCTGTCTTTTTTTTCAAAGCCAAGTTGAAGCGTAAGAGAATGGAAGTGAATAACTGGCCTGCATATGTGCAGAATTCTTAAGCGCGTCTGGCCTAGCTGTACCGAAGCAGTGGGTTTGAGGAAAGGACATTCTTCCTTTCTAAAGGAGCGCAAATGTGAAAATACGCGGCGCCGGTTATCTCAGTTAAAAAACTCAAGAACGGGAGTCACAAGCGTTGGGTTACAAAGTTTAAACGTTAATACAGCCACACACAATAATACTTAGATTAGTGCTTTAAGTAGATAAATTAAGTTGCAGCGCGTCTCTTAAGCAGCCATTGAACAAGCAAGATGAGAAATAAATTGAGTTGCACATCGGCCTTCCTGGCTTCTAACGTCCCTCTGTCAACACACCGATCCTTTTCACTGTCAATTCTAAACGTTTCACAGACCCTGGGCCTGCAATTATTTCATTTCCTTTCTTGGAAATGTAATTTCCACGTACTTTTGGAGAATAAAAGGCAGACAAAATCCTGATTAAGATTGTCTGTGCAAAACGGTGACGAGAGGCGGAAAAATCTATACACACACACCGAAGCATTTCTCAGAAACTAACTTGTCTCTGCCAAATTGCTTTTGTGTCTGGATATTGGTTCAAATGCTGCCAGATTGCTGATGTCAAATTAGGTGTTAAACAAACTTAATAGCAAAGGCAAAAGAATGAATATGGATCATCTTTCTGGGAGATGTGCAAACAGCTTCTGGCAAAGAAAGGCAGCAATGGGAATGTAAGAAGACATGCTTTAAAAAAAAATGCAACAAAATTAGGGAAGACTGTACATCAGCAAAGGCCACTTGTCCCAGAGGATCTCAATGGCAAGAGAAGCACACAAGAGGAAGAAAATACCAGTTGGCAAAAATAGACCTAAATTGAATTTCAACTTCATTTGTCCAGCTCCCACCTTTTAATCTAAGACAGCTAAAACTACAAAGGAGGGGCTCTTTCTCTCTTGACAGAACAGGAAATCAGAGGTTTAATTAACTGTGATTACAAGATTCGGCTGATCTGATTGGCCTCACCTCTTCCTTTTCATTAAGCGACAATCTAGCTGACATCCTGGCAAGAAGAATTGGTGCACAAGTGTGGACTAATTTCAAATGGAGCCTGCCATTGTTATAAAACAAATTGATCCTCTACTACACTGGTCTACAACACGGTCAATAGCAGGATTAATCCTGACAAAGTGCCACTTGGACGTTGGTCTCTATAGATAACCCTGTATGTGGCACAGTCAGTCTAGGAAAGAACAGGACGAAGGCACATCTTCCAAGGGCCAGAAGACGAGGTTATACAAACACAGGCCCCAAAGGAGTCTGAAAGATCTAATGCCTTCTTCAGGTTAGGGAGCCGTTAAGAGTGACAGTCTAAACACAGGTGTCTCCTGGTGCAGAAGTGTCAACCAGCTCAGTTCTTGATGTAGGAGGAGGCCACAATGGCTAGCCAGTTCAGCAGGGGTGGTGTTTACTTTGATGCAGAAGGAAATCAACAAGCTGGGAGCCTAGAATCAGAAGCTGGCTGGCTCAAAGGAGAGGGAAGGGGGATTGTCAGGCCACATGAAGCCTTTCTGGAGAGCAGCAGATCAAAGAAATGCACATTAGTCATTACAGATGCATCTACATTCTACTTAATAAAGAGCGTTGTTACTTACTGAAACGTAACCTTGGAATTCGTGCATCCTTCCAATTTACGGGGCCCTTCACCTGGCTCAGGTGTTAGGGGACACGGGCTGTTGAATTCTGCCTCCAGAGTTTTCTTGTTCAAGGCTGTTTTTGTTACACTGGATACAGAACCCAACACTGGCATGGATTTGGACTCTGAGGTGGCTAATATCCCGGTAGGACCTTAAAACCAAACACATAACCTCAAGTTTAATAAGTCTGTGTGATGCTTATTAATGGTATGAAAGATTAGCTGACAAAGGCCATAGGAAGCAAACAAAAAGCTAAGTTGGTTAAGAAAATTTAAGCACATGCTAAAAGAAAAGTCCCTTGGAGAAGTCTACTTTGCTTTGCGGGCAACCCTACCTTTCACTGCACCTTAACCACGCTGGGAAATTATTTGCAGACATTTAAGAGGCCACAAAAATCTCAGGCCACCCTCCCTTCACTGACCAGTCCTTAGCAATACTGCAATTGTGGAAACCCTTTCTTCTTTCCAAATATGGCTTTTCTGACAGCCCCGCTTGAACCATTTTGCCTCTCAAGAGTTAATTCTTCCAAAAACTCAGTTCTGCATTCTAAACAGAAAATGGACCGATGTCAAAAGGTTCTTTCTAAAAGGTTCATGAAGACTTCTTGAGCATTAAACAGCTTTCATGAACATTTTCATTTTAATGTGAATGAGCAGTAAGTGGATTTATTGCCTCTTAAAAATACAGACACAAGATTACAAAAATTAAGTGGCAAAGAGTTTGGGCTGTTTACCTTCTGGTCTCTGCTGCTCTTTGGGACAGGATTTAATGACTACAATGGGGCTTGCTACTGAAATTATTGGCTCAGCGAGCATACTAGAACTCCTGGGCTAAACCTAAGCCTCACTCTGAGTTTTCTCAAGGTAGCATGCATCGAAGTATGCCTACCTTAAAACACCTCCAAAAGAATGCTTTTAACAGAGAAAATGACTAAACAGGTCACACATATGCAAATTAAATATCAAAATAAAATTAGAAGGCAACCCTGAAGGGCTCCATCGAGGGGAGGACTAAGTTGGGAGGAGTGGCATGGGGTTGGGATGTGGCCCAGGTGGAGGAGCATTTGCACAGCATGCATGGAGTCAAGGGCTCCCAGCTCCAGTATAGACTGGTATAGACTGGGCGTGGTGGCTTATACTTGCAATCCTAACACTTGGAAGGTGGAGGGAGGCAGGGGTCATTCTTGACTACACACCAAGTCCAAGGTGACCCAGAGCTCCATAGAGACCCTGTCTCAAAAAACAAACAAACAAACAAAAAAAAAATCTCCCATACTGACATTACATAATACAAAATGTTAAGAGTCTAACAAAATTTAGCCAGAAGTTGCATTCTTTCATGTGGCTATGGATGTGTCTGGAAAAACCTATCTAAGAGGGACTGAAAATTTGCTCAGCAATTCTACTGGACTCCTCCCTTAGCCAGACTCCAAGATGCAGACCCACGCTTGTCTGGTGATGGGTGTGTACTTTCTGACTTCATCAGGCAGACAGGGTGGTATCATCCTGAGTGCTCTGGGCAGATAGGCCCTTCCCTCCCAGCTACACTAAGTCTTGTGTTGCAGGGGCTAGGGAAGATAGAGAGGGGGGCAGAAAGATCAAGCAAAGAGGCTTCTTGGAAACATGGATACGAAGTCTAATTCAAGATTTGCCTCATCTCGGGTGTTTTGTCCTTGGTAACTGCAACACTAGGCAGTGTTAAGCAGCCTGTCCTTGTCAGAAGATCTCTTTCTGAATACGCCAACGCTTGCTGCTTATATCTACATCTGAAGCTACTTAAAAAGGAGGGCAGCGAGCTGGGCTCATGTCTTCCACACATACAAGAAGAAATGAAGAAGGCACAGTTTGTGAGGGTGATTGCTGTGTCCTATGCTTCCTAAGGACCTCTTGCTATTCCTTGACATGTCAGTTTGTTTGACATGCTACCAGGCTGGTCTCCCTCCCTCCCTCCCTCCCTCTCTCTCTCTCTCTCTCTCTCTCTCTCTGTGTGTGTGTGTGTGTGTGTGTGTGTGTGTGTGTGTGTGTGTGTAACAGCAGCCAGTCCCAGGAAAACAGAGCACCCATATAGGACAGATACACAATAGCTTGAGGTTGGGTCTACAAAGCCCAGCTACTTCCTGGAGTAGCCCACCTGTTCCCTCCTGTTTCCCATAAGTCTTAATGTGCATGGGCAATGTCAAATGTCATCTGTAAGAGGCCTGCTTGTGCATCACTTATCTCTGTCATGCACCTGGCATGCTTAGCTGCTTCCTTGTTATAGATTCATGGAATTTTCATGTTGTCATTTCATGAGACTTAGAGAAATTTTCACATGACAAACTCTGTCTGTTCGGTGCTTGGAAAACAGGTTTGGTTTGGTTTGTTTGTTAAAGCTTGTCAGATTTCATGTTTCCCTTTTTCCCCCTGGCTATTAGGAAACTCAAAAAAATTCTGCTTAATTGCAACTCACTGTCTACTTCACCAGTGACACAGATCATATTTCTTTGTTCATGGTTTGAAGAAAACATTGAGACAGGCTTGCATGTAGCCCAGTCTGGCCTCCAAGTTGCTATGTAGCTGAGGCTGGCCTCAACCTTCTGATCCTCCTGTCTCTACTTCCTAAGAGCTGGGATTTCAGACCTGTGCCACCATGCGGTTTGTATGGTTCCTGGGATGAAATTCAGGGCTTTACATAACTCTAGGCAAATACTCTACTCCCTAAGTTACATACCTAGCTCCCAACTCTATTTGATTTTTATCTTCTATTCTAATTTTCCTGGAATGGGATACTAAATATATTTATACACTGGTTTTAAAAAACCAATCAAACAAACAAACAAATGACTAAAATGAAGTATTCTTGTTGTGTCTCAAGATGAGTTCCCTCCTCCACTTTTGTAAGTATTCCCATTTCCATATTAACTGAAACCAAAGTGCTGTGTCATTTTTGTGGGAAATGACCTCTGAAGCCATGAGTGATACATGTGATGGAGAATGGAGAAGGTGTGGAGAAAAACACACACTATAAATCACAGTAGTGAAAATTCCACAGAATAAAGCCTATAGAGACCTACAGGAGAACCCTCAGATGGATTCTGGGAAGGCTGTCAGAGGTCCCAAGTTACCAAATGGATGAGATGAGGTGGCTGAGTGTGGGCAAAGCAACAAAGAAAAAAGTCTCAAAATAACCCTTTTATTTCCCTTTTGGGTCGTTTGCTGGGTGGGAAGTCCTTATGTAAGATTTACCAGTAGAATTTTCAGACCAAACTAAATGCTTAATATTTTTATGCCAATGTCATTCCTTCTGTTTTGAAATAGGGTCTCTTACTGTTCTAGAGCTCACTCTGAAGGCTCAACTCTCTGCCCAGTGTGCAGATCCACTTGTGTCCACTGGATTACAAATCATGGATTCGAAAGAGTGTGTTCTGGGGATTGAACTCGGGGAGTAGTTAACTATCTCTTCAGATCATTCATGTGTTTATTAGAAGTCGGGCAGCTTCTCTGCCCAATTTTGATTGGTGGAATCTCTGTTGAGCAAATTCCCTCGTAAAGCGGAGCTTGACCATCACAGTTCCATTGTGAATATTCTAACAAGTTCATCCAGGCAGGGTAGGTGATACCGATAATGCCAGGGGGCCTAGGGAGGCTGAGGCGGGAGGGTAGCATGGGTTTAAGGCCAGCCTGGGCTACACAGCAAAACCTTATCTTTAAGTCAAAATTCTTGCAACTTCAAGTTGGTCAACAAGACTCAACATTTTATAGATCTAAAATGTTGCAATGGATTGTTTTCAACCAAGCTGAGACTTAAAAATGCTCAGCCAGGTGTTCTGGTTGCTGTCTTCCTTTGCTGTGATTTTTTTTTTTTTCAGAGCCAGCTTCTTGGCTAACTCCAATGGGAAACCTTCATGAAGCTTTTTGGTTAATTGGCATCACCAAAACCATTCAGACAACTGCAGCCACCCAAAGTCACATGGGTGATGGTGAGGCTTAAGCACCTAACAGCAATGGCAAGCTCACAGTTGGTGGCAGAGCAGAAGACCCTCCACCTCATGTGGTTCCCAGTCAGATTTATGAATGGGATGGGTATGGAGAGTGAAGATGATTTCTCTGTGTTTGTCATGACTGTGGTGTAATTTCCACTAAAACTGCAAATTGGCCCAGACAGAGTGGGGGGCAGGGCACTTTCCATGTACTGGCTTATTCATCTTGAGAGTAATGAATGTCACAAAGTCATTAGAGACACAGGAAGAAACAGAGGCAAAGAAAGGTTGAATAGCTAGCCTAAGGACAAGCAATGGGCAAATGTCAAGCTGGGACTACAAGGCAGGATGCTCACTTCCAGAAACTCCACCTGATGATGTGGGCTTGCAACCCATCTCTCCCTAAGGAGCTATTGGCAGTTAGAGGCTCCCGGGGAAGGAGGAGATATTTTCTTGGTCAGCTGCCCACGTTCCTGTACATAAATCCCCTCACTGATGTCCCTGTACACAACAGTAATGAGACATGTGGACAGCCAAACTGCAGTAACAAATAAAACTCCATGACAAGCTGGAAAAAGAATATCAGTAGAGGGGGGGGGGCAGGAAACTAGGGTGAATAAGATCAAAATACCTCATACACATGCATTGAAAAAAACCTACCCTGAAGGTCTTTATGTGGGGCTTTGCCCTGGGTGTATCACACTAACTAGGTCATATCTACAAATGCTTGGTTACCTGCAATAATGATGCTGATGGCTACGTAACCATCCATGAGGTGCCACAGACACTCTTTGCCCAGCCACTACTACTCACTCACATTAAAAAAACAAAAACAAAACAGAAACAAACAAACAAACAAAACACATTATTCTTAGGTTTGGCCTTTTCATGGTCCTACTTGACAGATTTACATGACCCAACCTGGATGGCATAGCTCTACAAGTGGAATGGGGAGGGGGGATGGGAGGGGAGGGTAGTCAGGGTGCATGTGAGGAGAGGGAGGGTAAGAGGGAGGGAGAGGGAACTGGGATCGACATGTAAAATAAAAATAATAATAATAAAAATCCCCTAAACATTTAATACTTTTTTAAAAGATAATCTCATGTTAAAGGGGTTTAAAGGAGAAGAGAAGGGTGGTGGAGAATTCGAAGTGGCTTACTACCGCTATCTGCTTCTGCCGTCACCTTTCTGCGACGTAAAATCCTCTCTAACTCAGTTTCACTGTTCTCAGGGCCAAGGGTTTTTAAGCTTCTCGAACTAGTGGATTTGTTAAGTGTCCCCTAAAACAAAAACAAAAAGGTTAATATAATATGCAAAAGAACATAAAATGCAAAACAACAGAACATTGTCAAAATCTGAACAGAATTAGGAAACAAAACAAATTACATATAAATGTATAATGGGTTTCTCATATGTGTACTCACACCCCAATGATACAAAGTATTCAAAGAGAAGACACCCTCAATGATACAAAGTATTCAAAGAGACAACACCCTCAATGATACAAAGTATTCAAAGAGACAACACCCTCAATGATACAAAGTATTCAAAGAGACAACACCCTCAATGATACAAAGTATTCAAAGAGACAACACCCTCAATGATACAAAGTATTCAAAGAGACTGCCTGATGGTGGACACTTTAGCCTCATCTCAGAAGAGCAAGCAATATCAGAACAGCTCTCGGGGCTGACTACATGTAAAGGTCAACTGAAGGGAGGTACTTGCCCACTGGTAATGAAGATGCTGGTATGTGTCCATCAAGGAGAAAATGGGTGCATTCACTCACCTTGGAAGGGCATCTTTAGACAGCAGCTGTGAACTACTGAGCACAGATCCTCTTGGAGGATTGTGCAGCCTGTGACTGAGTGAGTGACCCTGGCTGCAGTGCTGAGAAATAGACACCTGAGGGCCCCCTATGGGCTACTGCAAAAGCATCAGGCTACTTTGACATTAGTGTGGGAGAGGAATGCTGTGGTCCTCCAGGGATGGACTAATGTCCATTGTTCTGACAGACAAGAACACAGATGCATTTTTTTTTTCAGTGCCCAGAACTGCAGGCAACACGAGGCCATCAGGCTAGCTCCTCCTGAAACTGGCCTTAGCTTTCTCAGAAGACAAAGACCAGAGCCATGGGTCCCCATCCAGGCTCTTCTTCTTGAAGTCTATGCTGGAGGTAGCTCCCCACCTCCTTTTCCATTAGAGTGTCCACAATGTTTCCTCACTTAGAGGGAAGCACGCAGCTCATCAGGAAGAAGAATTTGACTGAAGTGCTCCTCCTGGGCTGTACCATAAGTGAGGGCTGGGGAGACAGGAAGACCTAAGATCTAATTAGAGGAAACAAGCAACAGCCTGCCAGACTTCACGTCTGGGTGGGAAGGTGCTTTTGTTCAGCAAGGCTTGTAGCCACCTCAGCCTCTGTATCAGCCTCAAACTTGCTAAGCATTTTTATTTCTATTCTTCTAGCTTCCAGCTTCTGGAAGGATTCTTAGAATCCTATTGTATAGACATGATGATTCTCTAGATCATAAAACAAACAAACAAAAAATTCCTTGTGAAAATCAGATAGTTACGAATCTCACATAGGAAACACTGCCAAAATGTTTTCATTATCTCCAAGGACAGACTACCCCTGCTTACAGAAATAGACAAGGAGTGAGGTGGCCAACAATATCAAGGAGACTGTGATTGCTGTTAGCTGCTTAATTAATTGATGCCTGACATGCTGAAGACAACTCTTACTTTACCCGGGCCTGTGACACTTTTCCCCTGGAAATGTGACATTTTGCTTTTCATTCTTTGCAAAGATTTATAAAAATATGCAGAAGGAACATGACGTGGTGTAATTCTATAACAGCTTATTTAAGTTTAGAAGTGAGATGATTTGGTTCACTGGGTTGTAGGTCTCTATCTACTTGTTGCTAGAGAAACACAGCAAGGCACACTTGTTGCTGGAAATTAAAGAAAATGAATGGCCACTTTCCACACACTTGGAAAGAATGCAAAGAACAAGTATCCCCATGTTATTTCTATTTAAACTTCTAGGAAATTTACCAATTGAAACACTTGTGAAGAGCTATTTAAAAACTGCACAGCTCTCACTATTAAAAAAAAAACAAAAAACATAGAGCAGTCACATTGTTTGGCTCTCAAGGCCACCGTATGATTTTCCCCAATGGAAACAGCTGTTGGAAAGGAAAGTACATGCTATCTACTGTTATTAGATTTATCTTTTGCATGATCCTTCAGCTCTCCCTTTGGATAACAGCATTATTTCCCCCCAAATCTTGGCTGTGATGAGCCAAATGCCGAAAGAATCTACTTTCCAAGTCTTAACCGCCCACCATTCTTTGTTCACATATAAACATCTATGTTCATCTTTGAACATCCATGACTGATATGATGGAAGAAGCTTATGTATGAGTTTAGAGGCACCAGCCACTGGAGGACAGAGCATTTCTGCATAACTCTCAAGTGGAATGAGGCCGGGCTCGGCAGATTAATCTTCTAAGATTATTCTACTTCTAAATCTCTAATGGACTCACACACCAGCCAGAAGCTGGCTCAGAGGCCATGTGGTACACAGAATTACCTCACTTTACAAGCAATGGAACCCAGTGAGGCTCAGGGCCCTGGTCGGTCCCACAGTAAGCCAGAGATAGACATAGAGAGAAACCCCAAACAGTAGTAGTCTAACTACTTGAAATCAGCATTGTCACACACAGTCTTAATCCCCAAGCACCTTGAATGTTAAAAAATGTCACCAGACTAACAACTACCAAGGGACAAGTAGGTACTGGTGAACCAGCTCTCCCCAGCCAAAGACTTTTATATCTAATTCCTCTCTGCAGTCTGAAGCTCTAAGTCACACATTGTGGGTTGCATTCATTCGTTGCTAGCAGAAATGTCCCCCACTTGAAGCTCTTCTGTTCTCCGTACTCTAGGAGATTCGGATACCTGTCCATTTTCTCTCCCGTTACAGGTGCTCAGTTCCACCTTAAGGTGGGACTTGAAGGTCATGGCACTTCCCATTGCTTTCTTGCTTCTCTCCAGTCACCATCACCAGGCTAGTGTTTTCCTCAGTACTAACAGTGATGACCCTTATAGTGGCGACTCCAGCTGGAAGCACCCAGAAACACACTGCACCTGAGTCCCACTTTCCCTCACACTCCCCAGACTCTGGGACCATCCCTCAAACAAACTCCAGCTGGGACAGAATAGAGTTAGCACAGGCAAAGGAGGACCAGAGTCCACTCAAAAACCAAAATCTTAATACAAAGAAAAATTACTTTCAGACTTACTAGTATTTGGTGACACAGGAATATCTATCAGAAAAGGCAGAGGTCCAAGAACAAACCCAGGACGAGGGTGAACAGAATGTTTAAAAATACTTTTCACAAATCATGAATAATTCCACAAATCTCTCTACATTTAGTTCTATAAAATTATAGTGAATATAATACTGAAAAATTATAGTGAATATTATGCTGAAAAGCAATATTTAAGCCGTGGACATAGATCAGTGATAAAGCAGAAGCTTAGCATGTGTGTGTGCAGTGCACACACACACACACACACAGTGATGCTCTATCTGCCTTTGACATATTGTTTTCATATAAAGTATTATCTCACATAGATGTTTGACTTCCTTAATAAACTGCATTTTTAATAAGTCAAACAATATGTCTCACTCTCAGACATCCCCCCCCCCCCCCCCCCGCCCTCATAAGGCCCCAGGGACTTCTTCAACCACAGGAATTAGCATTCGAATAAGAAGAAACAAAAGGGTCTGTCACAGGGGGGCAGAGCCCTGAGCGAAAACAATCTTTCCAGTCATAGGATCCATCAGGTAACAGCTGCATCCTTTGTCAGGGTGTTCTAATCCTTGATTCTGTAGGTAGACCACCACTGCTAGCCAGTGATACACCACTCCTTAGGGCTAATCCCACTCACTTAAAACTAAAGCGAACTAATGAGGCCATTCTGTGTGAAGTCCACTGCATAAAGTCGTTCTTGATGGTAATAATGTTGTTTACTGTCATTATGTGAATGTCTGCATGGGATGTTTAATTAGCGCCTCAACAACAAACGGGAGGGGTCACTCCTGCAACCCCCCCCCCCGTGTTTGTTAACATACTATGCATAATGAGTAGTGTTGGCTGGAATGGGGTCTGAAGTAGAGCTCAGACTGAAACACTTCCTTACAGGATTGTTGGAGAGGGTAGTCAATAACCATCTCACCAGCTGCAGCTCCCACTTGGAAAACAGACCCAGGGCTAGAGGTAGGCAGTACTTCTCCAGGATGAAATTGGTGATGTAAAGACTTTTATGGAACTGGAAATCTAATTCACCTGGTACGATGCTTGGCTAGTAGGCCTGAAGCCTTGGTGTGGATTGCCAGCATCCTATAAAATGGGTGTGGTGGTGCCCACCTGTAATCCCAGTACCTGGGAGGCAAAGGCAAGATCATTTCACGTCCCAAGCCAGCCAGAGCTGCATGTGAGGAAAAGCAGATGGGAAGTGCCCCCTCAACACAGGGCCATCAGAGGCTGGGAGCCGGGTTTACGTGTAAGTGCCCGGCATTCCACTGTCCCCCCTCAATACAGACGCTGCCCTGTTTTCAGAAATAGGAGCTGGTCCTCATTCAGGGCCAGAGACTGGACCCTCCCGCTGCGCTGTCGGAACTGGAGATCATAAATAACAAACAAGGCATCTGACACATGTGCTAGAGGTAGTCATAGGCACAACCCAGTAACCAGCCCAAAGAAATGACCCTAATCATCAATGGTCATAAAACACACTCAAAGACAGCTATCCATGAGAATGTCAGACGGGAGAGCATCCTTCACCTCTCCTGGGAACACAATCAGTGATTCTTACCAGGATTCCCTTCAGCTCCTCCACTGCGCTCTCGGAGCCTTTTAAGGAGTCCGGCTGCAATGCAGAAGGGAAAAAGAAATTACTGATTTTGTTTTAAAATGTGAAAGATTCAAAATGTGTGTGTGTGTGTGTGTGTGTGTGTGTGTGTGTGTGTGTGTGTGTTGGGCAGGGGAAGCAGGGAGGGAGAAAACAACCTGTAGGAGATTTTTTTCTTCCACCATGTGGGTCTCAGGAATCGAATATAGGTCATCAGGCGCTTAATGGCAAGTGCTCTAGCCCACTGTGCCATCTTGCTGGCCCCAAATAAAGATTTTTATGTGATAAGTTGTTGGTGATCTTTGTGGGGGTATGTGTTTCTGTTCATGCTTTGTGCACAGGAACATGCTCACATGGGCACAGGACAGCCAGTGTCCTCCCTTTGATACTGGTCTCTCAACCAAACACAGAGCTTGGTTTTTGGCGATGCTGACAGGCAGCAAGCCTCCTTGACCCTCCCCTCCAGCCTCTGCACTCTGCTCCACCCCCAGGCTCTCCAACGTCCTCTTCCACCCTGTGCAGGCACTGGGGCTACAGGTCCTCACACTTCCATGGCAAGTACTCTTATTGAGATTCATAATCAGCCCCCCACTCTCTTAAGTGTTTTTGGGTCGCCACTGAATGCAAACATAAAGTATATTTAAAGCAAAAACATTCAGGCTATCTTCTTCTAAAGATATTGCATCTACAAAAGGATTTAGTAAATACTAGATTTTAAAGATTTGAAATTATCAAAAAATTTTAGTAACAAGCTGTTCTTACTTAGAGCTTAGATTTCTGCCAGCAGGGAGTGAGGGGGAACCCTGGGCAAGCAGAGAACACATGCCACGCAAAGAGTTCCCACGGCCGGCTCAGTTCCAGAAAGGTCAGCTGGCAGATGGAGGACAAACACCTCAGAAGGACAAACACCTCAGAAGGACACTGCCTACAGAAGAATATTAATACCCCTCCCTGCTGGAGCCATGATGCCTGACAACCTGAGCTCAATTCTGGGCCCATGTGGTAAAATGAAGGAAACACACACACACACACACACACACACACACACACACACACACACACACACACCTGTAATAACAATTATGTTTTCTGAGTAACAAGCTCTCCCTCAGTATCAGACATAAGCTCTAAGACACTAATTTTATCCAGGCCAGTTCTACCTAGCTGCAATATCAAGAGATTTGGAAAATAGGCCAGTGAATAATTACCCTCAAGACAGGCTTCCTCTCTTAGGAAAACTGACATAACAATGGTGTACTTTGAACCAGTGCCCTGCCTCAAGGAATACTCAAAAGTTCTGCCAGGTACTAGCGTGGTCCTGGCTGCTGACTGTGACATTCTGGGGCTGGTGATCCCGGGGAAGAGGTTTGGACCCAAGTGTAGCCTGACCATGTCAGCAGAGGTTATTGGCTTGTGTTACAAGTAAGGTTTTTCCTGCCGGCCTGGGCCCAGCGCCATGCCAGCCCTAATTAACACACACAGACTCTGTATTTGATATAATTCTGTTGGCCACTTACTAGTTTCTTATCGGCTAGCTCTGTCTTAAATATTAACCCATTTCTATTCATATAAGTATTTCCATGTGGTCTTATCATACTGGAGAGAGGGGCCAGTGTTCTGCTCTCTCCATTCTCTCCATGTTGACTCCTCCTTACTCCTTCCTCTCTCCTAGTCCTGCCTATCTTGCTTTCCTATTGGCCAAGAGTGCTTTATTCATTAACCAATAAGAGAAACATATTCACAGAATGACATCTCCCATCAGGCCTGGTCACTGAGAGCTCCACCTACAGTCTGCTGGCAGCCGGTGAGAGCCCAGGGGTCCACGGATTCTCCTAGATCCTCTCAGCTCCCTTCCAGATTTTGAGCCCATATGGAATAAGGTTCTGTTGTTGCAAGAGGCTGAGAGTAGACGTGGAATGGTGTGGCCTTAAGAAGCTATCTGTTTGGTCTTTGTTTTGATTGAGGTAGGATCTTACCCAAACTGGTGTCCAACCCAGGGCACTCCTCCTTCCCAGGCTAGAATTGCAGAATTGCTAGAATTGCAGGCATGTACCATGACACCATGTTCAACATTTTCGCTCTCTACATTACTTTGATTTTTATTATGATACTATATTTTTGGCCAGGCGGTGATGGCGCATGCCTCTGATCCCAGCACTCTGGAGTCAGACGCAGGTGGATCTCTGTGAGTTCAAGGCCAGCCTGGTCTACAGAGGGAGTTCCAGGACAGACTCTAAAGTTACACAGAAAAAACCCTTTCTCAAAAAAACAAGACAAGACAAAACACAACAACAACACAATACCATATATTCCTCTAGAAACAGTGACATATAAGTAAAAAGAAAAAATATTCCCAGGCCCTTCATTTAAAAAGTCTTCCTAAGCCACTTCAGTTGATCTCACAGTAGTCTCATTGAGTCACATACAGAAGGGGCTGGCTGCACTTCAGCACCCAAACTGTCTGCAGGATCATTCTACCCAGCTTCCTCTGTCTCCATGGTCCTCTACTTGGAAGCCTGTTTCCAGATCTCCATGGCATGAAACTTCTGGCTGCCTAGAATCTGCTCTGTGAGGTGAGCCAAACTTCCCTCTCAGGCCTTGCCTGGCTGTCTTGCCTGCTGGTGACCAAGTGGCAACTTTAAGAGAAGCCTTAGAGCTTCTACCCCACAGTTACCACACTGTGAGTTCAAGGAGTTAAAGGGGCGTGGCCTTGAGGCTGAGGAGAGGCTTCAGTGGTAAAGCTCTCACCTTGTCAGCACATGGACTTGGATTTGGTCTCCGGAAGTCCCTGGGGCTCACTAGCCAACCAGCCTGACTTAATCAGCAGATTCTAGACCAGTCCAAAAAAAAAAAAAAAAAAAAAAAAAAAAAACAAAGCAAACCACTGCAGGTGGCATCCTGAGGAGAGACTCTCCCCACATGCACAAACACGCACACCCACAGACGTGTGCACCTGCACATATACACACGGACACGAAGGCATCCATGCACACATACACAAAAGAGAAGCAATCTTGGAAGAAAAATGGAAGCAAGCCACGGAGTGTGGGGAACAAGAAGGAAAAGAAGTCTGTCCACGTCTCATTAGAGTGAGGGTAGAAAGGATATTTTTTCAAGAGAAATCTCAAAAACTATTATTGGGTCTATTTGAATGTGATAGACAGCCATGGGAGGGAGGGAAGGGATGGGCGGAAGTGACCTGTGGCGATATCTGGTGTCAGAAGTGGGATGATATCGCGGTTAAATAAGGATCAGGATAAACAAATAGGCCGAATAGATGTTTATTCAGGGAGAAATAACTTACAACCTAGACAGATGAACACCAGGAAATTCAACCCGATCCTCTCCTGTCCGAGTCAGCAAGAGAGCTTTTCCGGCTCTCCCTCCGACCTCCTTCCACAGGTCACTTCCGCCCATGGCTCCACCCCCAATGGGCGTGGTCAGTGCCACAGAAGGACTATCTCACTACAAGGGAAGGCTGCCTCAGGCTCTCAGCATTCACTGCTGTACTTAGGAGGCAGCTGCTCTCATGCATGCAAACTAGCTTAGCTGTTCAGCCTTAGTTCTCTTCCACTTGGAGCCTCGGGGAGGCAAGGGTGTTGTCTGCCTTATCCCCAGTGCCAAATACAACAGTATTTGACATGGAGTAGATACTCAGAAGCCCACCAGAGAACAAGAAATAATAATAAGAAGAAGGGAATCGTAGCGTTACTTGTCTGATGTGATGGTGTCCATCGACACCCCTCTGGAAGCCATGGCAACGCTGGACAATAACAAGCACAGCTTCCAAACCACTTTAGGCTCACCTGCCATCTCAGAGCCCCCTCAAAACAGGCTCATACAGAAGAGAAAAACTTTTGGACACATTAGTCTTCTAAGCCTTGGCAGTCAGTCCTGATGTAGCTTTCATCAAATCCAAACTTTTACATTTAAAAAAGGAGGAGTAGGAAGAGGAGGAAGAGGAGAGATGGCTGAGCAGTTGAGCAGTTAATACTAATGCTCCTTCAGAGGGCCAGGTTTGCCTTCCAGCGCCCACATAGCAGCTCACGACCACCTGTACCGCCAATTTCAGGGACTCTGATGTCCTACTCTGGACTCATTGGATACCAGCCATATGTGCAGTCAAAACACATCCCCCCACACCAACACACAAAAGGACAGGAGACAGTAGAATGCACAGTTGCACATACCTTTGCCTTGGGTCTGGCAGTCTGGTTAACTGGTCTAAGATGAACGCCCTTTTTAATTCTGTCCATCATCTCCTCCACTGCTTGTCTCTTCAAGTCTGTGACTTCCTCAGCTGTGTGAAAAACACACACAGAAGTCATCTAGGTTATAAGAAATATCTAATTCCTCTTTCTGGTTACTTGGAGACACTGTGCTGTGCAATTAATAGAGATTTTTTTTTTTTTTTAGACAGTGGCAGAACACCAATAATTCACCATGGGTAACACGTACCATGTGGAAACTCTTAAGTAATATATTTTTTTAAATAAGAAAAATTTCTTATCAGAGCACTTAGAATTATAACAATCAAAGTCAAGTAAGTTTGTAGCACGGAAATCAATAACTTCTCACCTATGAGAAACAAAATAGATTTAGTTCATTCATTAACACAAGAATAAAACTTGAAGACATGGCTATCTGCAGGTCCCCTCCTGTGTGTGTGTGTCTATCTGTCTGACCATCTGTCTGTCTGTCTGTCTGACCACCTGTCTGTCTGACTATCTGTCTGTGTCTATCTGTCTGTCTGATCATCTGTTTGTCTATGTCTGTCTCTCTGTCTGTCTGTCTCTGTCTGTCTGTCTGACCATCTGTCTGTCTGACCGTCTGTCTGTCTGACCATCTGTTTGTCTATATCTGCCTGTCTGCCTGTCTGTGTCTGTCTGACCATCTGTCTATGTCTGTCTGTCTGTCTGTCTACCTGCCTGTCTATCTCTGTCTGTCTGACCATCTGTTTGTCTATATCTGCCTGTCTGTCTATCTGTGTCTGTCTGACCATCTGTCTGTCTGTCTGACCATCTGTCTATGTCTGTCTGTCTGTCTGCCTGTCTGTCTGTGTCTGGGGTATAAGACCATAGGAGCACACTGGGTGTGACAGTGGGTGTCACTATCCATGTCTCCTTTGAGACAGACTCTTTCATTAAAGCTGGGGCTAGGCTGGCGGCCAGTGAGCCCCCACAGTCTTCCTATCTCCACCTCCCAGTGTTACATGCACTTGTGTAGCCAAGCCCTGTTTTTGAAATGGGCACTAGGGATCTGAACTTAGGTCTTCACGCCAAGTCCTCTTACCCCCTGCACCACCTTCCCAGCCCCTCCCAGGTTTTTCAGAAATGCACCTCTGTATCTTTCCTAAATCATTCATTTCTGCTACACGGATGTCTCTAACATTCTGTATGTCAAAGAAAGTGAGCAAAAGCCTGTCTAAAAGAGGAGATTGAAGGGGCGTCCCCCTGTGTAGGCCTGGGTGCCCTGGAACTCACTCTGCAGACCAGGCTGGCCTTGCACTCAGAGATCTACCTGCCTTTGCCTCTCAAGTGCTGGGATTAAAGGCGTGGGCCACCACTACCTGGACAGGAGACGTCCTCTTTATGGGAAAGGGAGTCCAGAGACAAACTACAAATAGGCAAACCTATTTTAATCCCATCTTTTGTTTAGGAATCATGCAGAAAGGAAACATTTAAACAAATCTTTCTTTAAGTCTTTTAAAACTGCCCATGTTTTAAAAATAACAAACGTGCATCTAGTAATAACGGAAACGAAGCAATTAAATATGATTACAAATTTCAGCTTTCAGAGTTGGGTGTAGCTGAGTAGGAAAGTACTTACCTACTAAGTATAACAAATTCAGACCACATACTGTCCAACTTCGTGTGTGTGTGTGTGTGTGTGTGTGTGTGTGTGTGTGTGTGTGTGTGTAGGCCAGAAGATGCCAGGTATCTTCTATTGTTCTCTGGCCTTACTCACTTGAAACAGGGTCTCTCACTGAACTTGAAGTTTGTCATTTGGCTAGCCCAGCCACCCAGGAGGCTCTTAGAATCTGCCTATCTCTGTCCCCCAAATGTTGAGGCCATAGGCATGCAAAAGTTTTGTTTGTTTTTTTATGGATTTGAACTCAGTTCTTCATGATTATAGAGTGAGTGTTCTTAACTAAGCCACCTTCTTAGCCCCTGCTGTCTAATTTCTGCCTTGCTTTGTTGCATGTGCATCAACCAGAGAGGATAGAAATGATTAAACTGAAACCCGTTGGCCGTTTTTCTCATAGAATTGCTTGCCTGAAGATATGGAATCGCTCTGGAACATCTGTCACCATTAATGTGCTTTTACACCTGTATTACTCCTGGTGAACTTGCTTCAGATGATATATCAAAGTTAGGCTCCATAGGGAACTATCTAATCTGCATGGTGAACATGGGAGTTTCTTCTGATTGACTTCCAAAGTCTGGGTTATGGACAGATGTCATATCTGTACTTTCCAGTAGAGAAGCCTCAGCCCTACAAAGGCCGCCTTCCAGACAAAGGAGACCACAGAGTATGCTAAAACTAATTAGTGCTAGTTTCAGGACTAACTCATAGCTCCCTTTCTGAGAAAACGTCATGTGGCCCCTGGGGAGCCATTCCTCATCTAAGAAAACACCAGAATTTACATGTTACCATTGCCTTCAACTCTGTAGCATCGCTGCTATATTAAAAGTATGATCTGACTTCAAAGAAAATTCTGTCCTCAGAAGCTATTGAAAAGCTGTGAATTAAAATAGCTCATTGTGGAACATGTTTCAGAATCAAGCATCATCGCTGCATCAGAGTATCTGAAAAAAAGCCACCTAAGGAAGGAGGGGCTATTTCAGCTCAATACTGTAAAGTCCATTACCGCGGGGAAATCCAGGCTTCAGGAGTGTGAGCCCACTCACTGGTCACACTGCTGCAGGGGACGGGGACGAATGATTGCTTTCTCCCTTCTGTGCAGCCCGGAGCCCCACAGTCCTACCCACTCACAGGACAGGTCATCCCATCTCCACTCATCTAGTCCAGAAACTTCTTCATGAGAATGCCCAGAGGTTTGCTCCTCAGAGTCTAGGTTTTGTTGAGTTGACAATCAGTGTAGCAACCATCACACCAGGCGATATGGGAAACTCAAAGTTAGGACTCACCAACAAATGAAAAATGTCAGATGCTTTCTTTGGTCAACTGTGCGCCCTTAAACAGGAATTGTGGGGGGGGGGTGGGTGAGGGGTGAGGTGGGGGATTTATTCTGATGGCTCACAAGTATCTACACGGGGGCAGACAAAAAATTCACTCTCATCCACTCCCTTGATGTCCGAACATCTACTCTACATACACAGTACTTTTCTGACTCCTTTCAAAAGGAGATAAAAATCAGGTCTTGCACATAAGCACCTGGCACAGGATGTGACTTAGTCCTGGGAACTCAGAAACCAGCTTCAAAACACCCCCCCCTTTTTTTTTTTTTTTTTTTTTTTTGGTTTTTGTTTTGTTTTGTTTTTCAGAGAGGCTGCCATTTTGAGCGAGACTAGGAAGAGCTGCATGGCAAAAGGAACATCGCCTACAAACAGATTAGCACTCTGCAAGGAATGACTGCAACCCAATTAAATGCACCATACAAAAACTAATTAAGGCAGACAGATGGAGAATTACGGGCCGCACCATTCAAATCTGCTACAGCATCTACCAGCAGGAATTTAAAGTAGTTCCTTACATTTGCTTGCCAGAATCATAGTGATAATTCAGAGAAGTGCCACTATCTGTATTGTGCACAGATTATAAACCAGGCTTTAATTTCACAGCCCTTTTTCCCAAATATAAAGGCTTAATTGGTCTTAAGAAAAAGAAATCACTCTTATCAGATTCCCTGCTCAGGCGCAACACAAGGGCAGCACTAAGCTAGCTGCACAAGCTTTCTTCGTCTCCCCGACCTGTTTTTTGAAATAGCAAAAAGCAATCTATATGAACTTCTGAACTACTAAGCAGTTCTAATAAACTGGCACGAATTACCTACGGAGCGCTCATGGTATGTTTTGTAATTCTTTCCACAATCACACAGTTGGTAATTGTGTCACAAAAGCATGTAATCAGGGGGACAATGGAAATATGCAGGATGCTGGAGATTCGAGAAAGGGGACTATGAAGACAACGGGTCTAATGTTATTGAACTGCCACGGGCCAATAAAGAAAAAAAAAAAAAACCCAAAGGTTCTTTGAGTCAGTCAGTGCTTCAAGGTCAGTCTTGGATCAGAAAGCTATGTGTAATTAATTGGGGCTTAAATTTAAGACCCACTTGGAAAATAAGTTAGATCTTTACAAGAGAGACAGGGGGGCCAACAGACAAAATCATCACCTTGCTACTCAATCAAATCTCTGGCTAGCACCAAGAAGAAATGAAATTTCTTTTTACTTCCCTGTTTTGCTACATGTTTAAGGAAGACATTAAAAAGTAAGCCACCCCATATCATTGTGATGTTAAAAACTGCCAAAAGGGCATGCTATGTTTGCGTAAGTTTAGAACTGATCTACAGGTTATAAAACTGGCTACTGTGTTGCTTCTCCCCAAAAGGGGTTATGGGGCTGCAGAGATGGCTGAGTAGGCAAGAACACTTACTATATAAACTTGAGAACCTGAGTTCAAATCCCTAGAGCCCATGCAAAAAATCGAGTAAGGCTCCAAGTGCCTGTGCCTCTGGCACTGCGGTGGACTAACAAAGGAGGGTCGGAGGAGCTTGCTGAATGCCGGTCTAGCTCCAGGTTCAATAAGAGAATCCTCAACAGAGAAACAGGACACCGGGTGTTCTCTAACCTCTACATATGCACGTCTGCATATCTGCACCCACGCATGAGCACCCACAAACAACACACACACACACCACCCACACCCCCACACACACGTACACACACACATACACACACACCATACACCACACATACACACACCATACCACCACACACACACAACACAATACACACATACACAACACACATACACACACCATACACCACACACACACAACATAATACACACATACACAACACACATACACACACCATACACCACACATACACACATACACACACACACATATACATACCATACACCACACATACACATACCATATACCACACATACACATACACACACATATACACCCACACACATGTACACACACATACACACACACCACCACACACACACACAACACACATACACACACCATATACCACACATACACACACACCCATATACACAACACACATACACACACCATATACCACACATACATACACACCACACACACACCATACACCACACATACACATACACACACACACACACAACACACATACACAACACACATACACATACCATACACCACACATACACACACCATACCACACATATACACACACCCATACACACAACACACACACACCACCCACCCACACCCACACACGTACACACACACATACACACACACCATACACCACAAATACACATACACACCACACACACACATACACACACACATGTACACACACACATACACACACCATACACCACACACCCACACACCCACACCACAAATACACACACCATACACCACACATCCACAACACACATATACACACCACACACACCTACACACACCACACACACCACACATACACAACACACACACATACCATACACCATACACACACACCACACATACACAACACACACACCATACACACACGCCACACACACACCACACATACACAACACACACACCATACACACACGCCACACACACACCACACATACACAACACACACACACAACACACATACACAACACACATACACACCAGCTTGCTCAGAGAGAGACTGAAATATGTGGAAATTACACAAACACCAGAGTCCAGCACAAGCTTTGGATAGGCCAATAAATCCATAAAGCAATGGACTTTAAAACAGAATGCTATAGAAAAACAGATATCCCAGTTAGCTTTGTCTGGGCGTGTGGGATGTCCTTCAGTGTGCTGCCAATATGCGTTGCTTTTATTGGTTGATGACTGAAGCTGTTTTGACCAACGGCCAGGTAGAACAGAGCCAGGAGGGAAATCCAAACAAAGGTGGAAGAAAACAAAGGCACAGTGCGAGAGATGCCTGTAGCTGCCAGGGAAGCAGGACGGGAGATAACAAACCATGAGCTTCACAGTTAAACAAAATCTAGAAATGGGATTAATGAGAGCTAGTTAGTAATATGCCTGAGCCACTGGCCAGGCATTTGCAATTAATGCTAAGCCTTACAGTGGTTATTTGGGAACTGGCAGGCGGGACGAGAAACCGCCAACTACACAGCCTGGAGATGCCTGAGAAGGGAGTCTCCACTGATTACCCAGGTCAGATCAGCCTATGGTGGATGGTCTTAATCATTAATTGATGTAGGATGTCACCCAGCCCATTGTGGGTGACAACATTCCCTGGGCAGGTGATCCTGGATTATATAGGAAAGCTACGTAAGCCAGAGCAGTGCCACACACCTTTAATCAGCACTTGGGATGGGGCTCCAGACTGGGTCTACCAGGAAAGGGGTGGGGCTCCAGGCGGGGTCTACCAGGAAAGGGGTGGGGCTCCAGGCGGGGTCTACCAGGAAAGGGGTGGGGCTCCAGAGGGTGGGGCACACATATGAGGAACAAGGAGGAAGCGAGGGCTATTAGTAAGCACGACACAGACTTCAGGTTCTAGGCTGACACCGTGAGAAGCAGAGACATGTCCTGGGTGACACAACTGGACCGTCACACTCGAGTGTGGTGCACACGGCTAGACTGGAGATGGTAAAGAGGCCAGAAGGAACCTTATGCAGATCTGGATTTGCAGTAGCTCCAGTTCAGGAGTGCTCTGGAATACGCGCCCAACACTGTGAGGTGCAAGGGGCCAGGATCTAGCCCAGTTTCAGAGCTCTTCCATCTGAGCTCTGTGCACGGACTCTGCATCAGCCATGGCTGTCTCTGCTCACTGCCCAGGTCCTTCTCCCAGTCCATCTCACACGGTCCTGTAGACTCCATTTCCAGCGACCCTCAATATGCCGTGCATCCCACCTTCATGGCTAGATGACTAGGTGCCTACTTCCTGAACCCATCTTTCTATCTAGACAGCTGTCACCCGGCCTGAGCCTCCTCGTCTAAGGCATCAATATTCCTCTGCCTACCTGCCATGCGCCCCCTTCTCCATCTTATCTTTGCTCTCCCCAGACTTGAGCCACAGTGACTGCGAGCAAAGATAAATCTCGCTGCATCCCTAGGTCAACCTTCTAGTTAGTTATAACTAGAGAGCTAGTTAGTAATAAGCCAGAGCCATTGGCCACACATAATTAATATTAAGCCTTGGAATGATTGTTTAAGAAGTGGCAGGCTGGAGAGAAACCGGTCCAGTACAACTGGGCGGGAAAGAAAAGCTCCAACTAAATTTCTTCCCACAATGTTTCCCAAACACTGTATTAAATGATATCAAATTTACGTGGACAATCACTTGTTTACACCATGTCTATTTATACCGGAATGCGGGACTTCAGAGTCTTGTGTGTTTAGCATGTGACACTGTAGTAGTATGTAGCTGATAAGGTATTTGACTAAGAACTCAACTTCCTTGTTGTCATGATGATAAGAGGTCTCTCCCCAAATTTCCTTTGGAATTACTCCCTCCCCATCACGCCCCAAGTGACCTGTTCCCCAAAACAAGAGCGCATTTCTTAAAACACTCTCCTTGTAGTGACAGTGATGTGTTCACACTCAACCTCCTCTAGACAATAAGCTACAGGAGGGCAACCCCCATTACTGAGCTCCTTCTCGTGGCCGGCTGTTCTTCACACTTCTCTCCCAACAGTGTGTTCAGAGAGCCCAGCAAACACCAGTTACCGGGGAGCTGACCACCGTCACCCACTTAAAGGAAATGGAACACAAGCCAGGCTTACCTGTTTCTGGTTGAGTAGCCTTTTCTTTCTTAGCATTGCCACTGGAGTGGGATCGTTTCCGGATCATAGACATGAGGGATCTGTGGGAAGGAGGAAAGGGTTCCAAAGAAATTAGTGGCTGCCTTATGGTCCAACTGATAAATGAGTAATTTGGTTTTTGTCTATTTTCTTTTTTTCTTTTTCTTTTTTTTTTCGAGACAGGGTTTCTCTGTGTAGACCTGGTTGTCCTCTAACTCACTCAGAGATCCACCTGCCTTTGTCTCCCAAGTCCTGGGATTAAAGGTGTGCACCACCGCCTCCAGGCTAAAATGGATAGTTCTAAATGGTCAATGATAACCCAACTCTCCTACACTTGCATGGTTTCTCAACTAGAATTTAAGCAGCCTGCTTTCTGCTTCGGTTAATACTGCTGTTTTCATCCGCTCATAGTTTTGGTTGGGAGCCTAGCCTTTAATGGCTGAGCTATCCCTCCAGACCTCATCAGCTTGTAGAAAAGGAAAATGTCTTAGTTCTCAGTATAAAACTCCGACCACTGGAAGGTGGAACTGATGGCCACCATCAGGGTACACAGCTTTATAAAAGGAGATGGATGTGGAAAACTTTTATACCCTTATATAAAATACAGAACTATTTATTCAAGAAGTACAGGTTACCTACGTAGTACATTCCAGACACAAGGAGGAATGAAAGAATTAGGGAGTGTTTGACACAAAATAGCAGTACAGACAGGGGACTGTGTTATTCTTACTTAGTGAGTGGCCCCTATAGTCAGTACCTGCAGAGCAGGAAATGTGACTTCAACAGGAATATTGAATATCCAGGTATGTGGGGACAGAGCAATCTGCATGGCTGTCTCTCCAGCTTGGGGTTTTAAAAGTTTATATAAAATCTAACTTATGATCAACCGGACCACATTAAACTTTAACAAGCCCGTGTGCCGCTAAAATGCATTATGAAGAATAAAAATAGATAAATCAATTCTATGAATGATATCAAACTCAGAATACAGCCCAATAAAAATGGATAAAAAATCTTGAAAAACTATAAAAGGTGATGCCCAAGTTTCCAACACACAAACAAAAGGTGTTTGATTTTCTTAACTACTAAGGAACATGGTTTTGTTTTAAAGAGACACATTATTTGCTTATCATATCCACACACACAAAAAAAATTCAAGTTTGAAAATACTGAGTATTGGGATTGAGAAATCTCCAGCTGAAGCCATCATGTAAATCAACAGTACTATTGTGGGAAAGTGTCTGGCATTATCTCATAGAGCCCATGAGCCAGCAACTCCATTAGTAATCTTACAGAAACATAGGCACGTGTGTACCAGATATGTATATATGTGTACAAGAAATTTCACATAGACTCTACAGTTTCCCTAGCCTGTAGACAACACAAGCCTCTGCCAGCATCACACTGGATATGTATGTATGTATGTATGTATGTATGTATGTATGTTTTTTCTGTAGTGTAAGTTCTATCTTGATAGTTTGTCCTTTTTCAATATAGTGGATTCTCCTTGAGTACCATATTTCCAGCCCAGGCTTCAGCTTTAAGCTAACATTTTTCTCATCCACTTAGATGATGAACAATAAAGAACGTGTGTTCTTTTTTCATACGTGCAATATAAATTTCTGTTTTGTTACCTTTGCGTACCATGATGCCCAGTGTCCCAGATATGATGTTGTTAAAGAATGTGGTTTCAAGTGACTGCTGAGGACTCCCTAGCCTACCCTGGCATGCACTGGCAAGTAGACTCCTCATGAGGTCCAGTTTGTGGCGTGGAAAAATAAAGACCAAATTTACAACATTCCTTGTAACATCAGAAAGAATAATATATAATAGGTGGCGTCTAATGTTGAGTGGCCGTATCCATACTGTCAAAGGGGGCGGGGACTGTTATGCTTTTCACTCTGGTCTGTGGGGAATTTTCCCAATGTGTCTGGTAATTTTAAGGACAGGCGATTTAGGAGAGAATTAATTAATATAGCCAAACCCAGAGGTAAAAAAGAAAAACCTAAAAATGTAGTAACTGAGAAACACTGGGGGCTGGGGATGTGGCCCACTGGCAGATGAGCCGGCATGTGTGAGGTCCTGGGCTGGATTTCCAGCACTACAAATAAACAGCATGATAGGCTTGTCCTCTGAAGCCATCACTCCTATTTCTATACCCTTCTTTGGGCAGTCGTTGTATCTGTCAGAATTTGCCACATGGGGCTTTAATAATGAAGTTGAAAAAATGAAAACATTCCTTATTTGGGGAATAAACTCCTTTTTTTTTTTCAAGTGTGTGTGTGTGTGTGTGTGTGTACATGCCATGCTATGGTGTGCACATGGTTCCAAAGGCAAACTATTTGGGAGTTGGTTCTTCCCTTATAGAGACCCCCAAATATAATTATTTTTTTAAGTTAGACTTTCTAATTTGTACAGACACGGGTCTCAGGAAAGCATGTGGGTTATTAAGCTGATAGTCATATTTGTTTGTGTATGTACTCGTTATGGTGTTCGTATTATGAAATAGTCAAATAACCCATTTGTTAGAAGTGATCGTGGCAGTGTTCTTGACCTACATACACATCCTGTGGGCTCTCTCATGCTGGAGGACTCATCCCTCTCCCCACCCCTCTGTCCGTGAGGCACGCATGTCCAATACCTACCCTACTTTCTCCCTCCACTACTACATAACCCAATCATACCTGCTTCCTCTATTGGACATCTGTCCTCTAGATCAAAGAAATGGGAGGAGATGAAGAGGAACCATAAAGCCAACGAGGAAACCATTCCCCATCCCTACTGTGTTCGTTTCTATCCGTGATCTATGTTAGTATAAAAATAATGGCTCAAGAACAAAGTTGGAAATCACTGGCAGGTTCAGTACCCATGAAAGCTCAATACAGATGCAAATGTATCTTTGACAGAAAACTATTTTTCTCCAATTTTTTTCCTGAAAAGTTATATCCCATACTATTTAAATCTATCTTAAAAGTTATTCATGCTATTCAATGAAATTTTTTCTTTTAAGAGTCTTATAAAGGAGTCAATAGCTAAGGAATATATAGTCTTGATTCTCATACTCACGTCTCAGTATAACTATAAAGAGTTCTTTGGAGGAAATTCTATTTAGATTATACTTTCAATTCTAGGGGCTCTTAGCATTTCTAAAGCTAAAAATCAAAGGCCGACAGCAAGACTGTAATTGCTTTTTAATAGTTCGCCCTTCTCATAGAAGTGACCTTTCTTATCAGCTCAAAATTCTAGACCTGAAAGATCAAAGTGACGAATTTCCCATTTTAAATGTCACCTTTGGAATATCTCCTACAGACTTAGCTACCCAGGAGAGAGAGAATTTAAAATACCTGAAATTCTTTCAATTGACTCTTGGACTCTATCACCTGTAAAGATTATTTAACCTCAACTACTTCAATGGCTTAAAGTAGATTATGTCATACCCAACTCGGTAAGGCAAAGTAATGAGACCCTTTTTCAAAGGCAAAGTCCCATTTCCATAGTCGTGTGGGAGGAACGCTCTACACATGCTATTCAGCTGGATCAGCTAAGGTGCAAAGCGGGAATAAAGGGCTTCTCTGTGTGAAAGGATTAAACAAATCACATGAGTTAATGAAAGCTAAAACATCCAGCAAAAGTTTAAATGCCATTTGTTCAAGAACAAATTATTCAAAGGCAGCTAACGAACATCATGAGGAGGTAAGCAGTCATCAAAATAAGTAGCATGACTTCTCTAATTCTGGGTGGTGGCACATAGACTCACAAAGGAGGCAAAATCTCTCTAGAATGTACGTCAGAGATGGCAACCTAGGCAGGCTGCAGAAAAAGAGAATTTCTGCCTGCATTTAGGATTCCTTCCCCAAGATCTTAAACAGGAATTCTCCTTCTGGAAGGTTCGACTCTCAGAATTATTAACGGCTTATCTAATTGGATAAATTAGTTGGGATAAAAGATATTTAGTACTTTTAGATTGATTACTAGTTTATAACAATTAGTAGGTTAAGTTTTAATTTACGACTTTCAAATCGAGAACCTCCTAATTCAAGTCAGTGAGGGGAAAACAGTAAAGCACTTTGGAGACCCTCAAAATTCCTTGCTCTTGCGGGTGAAGGTAATCCTAGTGCTGCGGGTGGAATTTTGAAATGAGAAGTATCTGAGAAAAAAAGACAAACATCTAGTTCTTTGAGTTTGGAACACAGCCACTGAATCCGAGTCCCATGGGGGAATCCGTGGGCTGTGAGGATTTCCTCGAAAGGTGACTTAAAACCAAGAATACACAAGAAGCAGGAAAAACGTTGGTCTTCAGGAAATGTTCGTTTCTGCTTTACCGTCCCTCTGAGGATAGAAATCGCTTGGTGGAAGCCACCTGGCCGTGGTGGCACACGGCTTTAATCCCAGCACTCGAAAGGCAGAGGCAGGTGGATCATGGTGAGTTCGAGGCTAGCCTGGGATACATGAGACTCTGTCTCAGGGGGACAAAAAGACAAAAAGACCTGTGTGACTGGCAGGGTCAAGGACAGGAATGCAACAGGGAGCAGGAAGTTCCTGGACGGTACTTACCGATGGACGGTACTTACCGGATTGGGTTGGGCGGTGGAGGGGGAAGAGGCGGAGGAGGCGGAGGTGGGGGAGGCACCGAATTCTCCGACTGGTTCACTCGCTTCTGGAGTTCATCCACTGGGCAGGGAGCAAGGGTTCAGAGAGACCTGAGATAAGTCACTACGTAGTGTCCACACAACAGAAAAAGCAGCCTCTCTCAGATGATGATGGGGCCCGCCGAGTCATCTCCAGAGGAGACGCCTTCTGTCACCCAGGCATCACTAACGCCATAGCTGGAGCTTCGTCTGTGTACGTGCACTGCCATTATTTTCCCGGGACGAATGCGTGGGGAGGAAGAATTGAGCAGGCTGGAGGGAATATTCACAAGGGAGTTCACCCCTCAAACACCAAGAAACTCTTCATGCTAGACTTTCAAAGCGTGTGGACTGAGGGCCGCCCTTAAAGGTGGCATTCGCAACGCATTTTAGTTACTGCATTCTTGTCTCCCACGCTTGATTTCCTTCAGAACCGGCAAACACTAGAGTTTTTAACCAGACTCACATTCCCAAACGCCTATAACTTAAACCTTTTGCCCATCTGAAGAAATGCCATTTATTCATTCAAGTCACGACGAGACAAGCATTTATTGGTCACTAACAATGGGACAGGACCTATGCACGGAGTGAAAACACAGGTGTTCTTCACTCCAAGGAGCTCGATTCAAGTTTGCATCATAGTGCTATCTTAGAGCTCCTGCCTAGCAGGTACAAAGCCCAGGTTCAATCCCCAGCACCACAAAAGAAAAGAAATACATATTATGGTCTAATAGGTGCAAATACTGTATGCACTCAGATAGACCACATGGTCTATCACTAGTCACGCTTTACCCACCCGCCCCCATCCTTAAACAGGCAGCGTGGGCTAGGGGCCGCTCTCCACTCCATACATGTGCATCTGACACTACCCAAAGGGATCTGGAGATCTTCCAAGACAGATGCAGAGTGTGTGTGTAGGACAAAAGTCAAAATCAAGATTATTTGGGTATTTGATCCACTCTAAATCAGGACCGTATCTTCTGGTGGGCAGGCCAAGAAAAAGGCCAGGCAAAAGGAAGAATTTTTTGTTTGTTTGTTTTTTGCTGTTTTCATCTATCCTGATGCTAAGTCTCTGCTCCACTGGAGTTAGAACCCATTTCTCCAGGTATCTAACCCAGCTTGGAAGCCAGCAGCTCTGTGGAATCCTCCTGCCCCCCAGCACCAGACTGGGACCACTGAACACCTCCAGGTTCGTGGACTAAACCACTAAGACTCCCGACCTTTCTGCGGAAAAGTAGTCAGTGGTAGATTATCTGGAACACAGATTAATCCAGATTAATAAATCTCGCAATAAATCCCCCATATATGCACATTCTGTTAGTCCTGTTTCTTTACAAAACCCTGAGCCCATCCTCACCCTAGCCTTCCTGACAGCTGGGATAGCATTCATGTGCCACCAGACCCGATAAAATGCATGGACACTTTTCTTCTGCGTTCCTTTCCTTTAGATTTGTTTATTTGGTTTGGCTGTATGAGTGTTTTGCTCGCATGTATGCTCATCATATGTATACAGTGCCTGCAGAGGTCAAAAGAGGGTATAGGGTCACCTAGATGGTTGTGAGACAACATCTGGATGCTGGGAATCAATCAGTCACCCTCTGCAGGAAGAGTAAGTACACACGAGATTCTACAGAAATCAATCCAAACTAGAATTTCAGGTTTCTGCAACGTCTGCCCCCTCCACTAACCATAAAGATGGCTTCGCCTATCGGCAACTCTGACAGTTACTAAAAAGAGTTGAAGTTTCCTTAATTTCGGGTTGGCTTTCCTGAAGTAATCCGTATTCACTTTTCATTGCGAGTTTTTAAAGGGCAATGAATGTTTCAGAAAGGAAAAGAAAGCCTGCATGGTTCTTCTGCACGGATTTCAAAATTCTATTACAAAGTTAATGGGAAATCTCTGAAGTGAGGGCTGAGGCTGTCATAAAGGGAAACGTACCCACGGCAAATTGCCCACCTTCTCGGGGACGTACAACTGTGTGGTAATCTAGCGCTACACTTGTGTGAGCCTTCCCCCACTGACTGAACAAATGCCTTGGTAGGATCCCTGGTGTTTTAAAAGTTTCCCCATTTAATATGCATACTGTTGCCCACTTCACTGTTAGGTGTGGTATAGAAAGCAACATTCCATTGTATAATTAAACCCCAAAGATGAAGGAGACATAAATACCAACGATGAGGGTATTATTTAAAAAAGGAAAAAGAAAAGAAAGTTCAATTCTTTTCGAAAAAGCACTCCAAAATGAACGGAGTAAAATTAAGCGCTTGGTGAGCGACCCTTTCCAAAAGCCCAAGATGTTGACAGTTGCTGTCTTCCGTGCTAACGGCACCACTGGGCCTTGGTTCTACACAAGAAACTCACAGAGGCTCTACATTAAAAAAAAAAAAAAAAGTAACTTGCAATATGTGTGACTTGGTTGATGACACTTCTCTGCTGAGTTGTGACAGATAGGAAGGGATTAAAAAACAAATCTGCAGTCTGGAGAGATGTCAGTCACCACGACACTCACTCACTGTGTAAGCGAGCATGAGGACCCGTGACCCCGTGAAAAGAGCTGGATGTGGTGGTGTGCGCTTGCAATCCCAGAGCTGCAAAAGTGTGGACAGGTGGGTCTGTGGGGGTCCCTGGTCAGGAAGCCCCAGACTCCAGTGAGAGATATCTTACCTTAAAAAAACAAAAACAAACAAACAAAAAAAACAACCAACCAACAAAATAAACAACAACAAAAACAACCAAAACAAGATTGTGGCCTGACGAAATAACTCAGCAACTAAAAGCACCTGCAGCTCTTGTGAAGGACCCAGGTTCAGTTCCCAGCACTGGCCTGGTGGTTCAGAACTGTCCCTAATTCCAATTCATATATTTTGACATCCTTTCTGCTTCCATAGGCACCAGGAACGCACATGCACGCAGGTAAAACACTCATTGAATACACAAAGTAAAAGTAAATATTTAAAAGGCAAAATACGGCATGGGCAGCTCCTGAAGTTGGTCTCTAGTGTCCACATACAGGTGTGTGCATGCACATACACACGTGTAATAAAATGGTAGGCATGTGCACGTGTGCACACACACACATGTACACTCACATGCGCGCCCACATGCACTCACATGCACACACACGTGTGCACACACACGCACATGCACACACACATGCACACACACTAACCAGAACTACCCGCACGACAGGCTTTGGCGTGGGCACATGAGGTGGGCACAGCAGTCGACTCTGCTCTCACCTGAATGCTTCAGGTTTCTGGCCTTCTCCTCCGAGCTCAGATATTTCTGTTCTAGTTCTCTCTTGTCTTCTTCCAGAAGCTCCAGCTGCTGCCTGAGGTTATGGATCTCTTTGTGTAGTGCTTCATTCTCCAGCTGCTCCTCTAACTCTTTGACCTGTAAGTTTTACACGGCTTGAGTAGGGCTGATATTTCCCCTTGTCGAGGAAAAGGGGGGAGGGAGGTGAATATTCTCACTTGACTTTTTCATAGCTGAAAGATTCCAATCCACCTTAAAAAAAAAAAATCACACAAATTCTGGGTCTAGATAACACTAGCTCTTGTTCATGGGCTAGCTCACTTTCCATTAGTTGTACTGAGCAGTTAGTTACACAAGTCACAAAAGTAAAATAATAACTAAAACTTACCTTTAAAACAGTCACATTATGTCTTTATTATTATTATTGGGTGTTTGTTTGTTTTGGAGACAGGGTTTTAAAGGCATGCACTACCACCACACCTCAGCCAGACACATTATTTCTATATCCTTCTCCAAGAGGAAAACTTTGGTAATATTTTTAAAAGACCCCTGGGACCTATGGGAATGGGACAGGGAAGAAGGCAGATGCCATTTTGTCAGTAATGACAGTTTTATAAAAACATACTTTTTATTTGTATTCGCCTGCATATATGTGTATGCCACATGTGTACAGTTTCCTTGGAGGCCAGAAGAGGGCAACAGATTCCCCTGGACGCAGTTGCAGACGGGTATGAGCAGCCACGTGGGTTCTGGGAGCTGAACTTGGGTCCTCTGAACGAGCAGCAAATATCTTAACTGCTGAGGCGTCTCTCCAGCCCCAATAGTAGGACTTTTATGTGTTTGTGACTCAGTGTTCAAATGTTTGCTTAGTACACCCAGGGCCCTGGATTCAACCCATAGCCCTCAAAACTAGCCAACCAACAGCGGTGCTCCTCAGGTAAATGTGAAAGCACACTCCTTAAACGTTCTCAAAAACCTAAGAATAACCTAAACATCCACCAGCATTATTATTTCACGGACAACATAAAGGAAACACTTTACAATCAATCATATAAAACCATATAGTTCAGCTGGCATCGATGACACACGCCTTTAATCCCAGCACTCACAAGGCAGAGGCAGGTGGATTCATGAGTTTGAGGCCAGCCTGGACTACAGAGTGAGCTCCAGGACAATCAAGGTTATAGAGAAACCCTGTCTCAGAGGGAAAAAAACCAACAACAACAAAAAACTAAAAACGACATAAACAACCCACATAGTTCAATACATACTTAGATGGGAAGATATATTGCCAACTGAAAAATGATAAAAGAAGGCCACGCATCACGTAACTCCATTTAAACAAACCATATTATACATAATAAAACCATGTATTTATATAAAGTTTTGAGCTGCCCAAAAGTATACATCTTAAATTCTCAGATAATCTTAATTTTCTTTTACTGTTTTACCTTTTTTTTAAAAAAAAAAAAAAAAAAAAAAAGTGAGTTTGCCATAAGAAATATAAATTGGGACTCAACGGCTACGGCCCCAGGTGGACAGAAACTTTCATCTACAAGAGAGGTCTGAGAATAAATGAATAAATAGGGCAGGATAAAGCCTGTAGAACTAGTAATTGCTATGGTTTCACCCACAACGACCTCTGCTCCTTTGTCAAACAGGAGAACAGAAAACAACTCAGTCCCAGAGTCCAGTTCAATTCTGTGAGCTCCAGGCTTCTTGTATTATTTACCAAACAAGTTAACCATTACAGTTTATCTTCCCAGGACCAAAAGTTAAAATTTTACACAAGCTAAACACACACAGACACACACACACACACACACACACACACACACAGAGACACACACCACAGAGATACCATATATGTGTGTGTGTATATATCATATTTAAACTCAGATACCACATACACACTTACACACCATACTTACATATATATGTGTGTATGTGTGTGTAAGTGTGTGTGTATGTATATATATATATATATCATACTTACCCACAGACACCACATACATACTTATACATACACACATACCACATACAAAGACATCACATATGCTTCACACACAGAGACACCACACACACATACACACACACACACATACATCACATACTTACACATACAGACACACACACACACACACACACACACACACACACACTTTCTGAAAAGGCAATTCCTGCATGTGGGAGCAGAAAAAGAAATTCTTCACCTTCAGCCCTGGGGAGCAGAGGCTTTGTGTACATCTGCCAACACTTCCCACTGAGGAAACAGAGACCCAGCTTGACCTTGCTCCTTGCTGCTAGAGGTGAACCAGTGTCAGAAGTGGAGACGATCACGCATGAGACACTAACAGGGAGGGGAAACCCAGGTGCAGGTAGCAGCCTTTTCCCGCGAACGAGGTCTGCTCCGAGGACCCACAAATACTGATGTCACTGCTCTAAAGTGGCTCCCGCAGGTCTCTCCACCTCCTCTCTTCTCCCCACCACAAACAATGTCAGGTCTCTCTGCCTCACACAGAGGGACCTGGCCCATGGTGACCTGAAGAGTTCTACTCGGAACAAAGCTCTGAATAAAGCTGTACCAATATCTACAGGAGCCTGCATGGTCAGAAACTGAAAGCAATTAATAACGGCAGGTTTTTCTTCCCCTCCCTCTCAGAATATGGCCTTTGTCCCCCAAGAAGCTCCGCAAAAACCAATACACTCTGCTGTGTGTATCCCGTCCCTGATAACCATCCTTCCCAAACAGACTTCAAAACTAGTTACTGCCCAGTACACTCCGAGTCCTATCCTTCCCTTCCTTCTCCAAACTCACTATTAATGACTGACTTCCTGATCATTTCAAAGACTCCACGACAGTGTGGTATACACGTAGCTGAATAGTACCTTAAATTCACTTGGTATATTTTCTCAAAGGTATTTAGGACTTAGTCAACAAAAAAAAAAAAAAAAAAATGGAACTCTAGAAAACCGTATCAGCACCTCCTGTTTTAATGTGTGATTGTGAGCTGATTGTACATGTACATGAGTTTGTGTGTATGTGTGATGTATATGTACGTGTGATGCGTCTATGTGTGTACATGTGTGCATGCATGTTATACGTACATGTATGTGTTACACAAATATGTGATGTCTTATGTATATTGTGTACATGCATGTGTGTGTATGTACACATGTATGTATATGATGTTTGTATGTACATGTGTGCACATGTAGGCATGTTTATGCTGTGTCTGTGTGTGTACATGCATGTGTGCATGTATATGCATGTGTGTACATGTGTGTGTCCACAGCTCCAGAATAAAATCAGTTACCTTTCGCTGATGCTGGATCCTCTCTTCTTCAAGCTGCTGGATGAGTTTTGAGTTCTCGTCTAATGCTTTCAAAAGCTGCTGGTCAGGAAGGGCGCTCTGCAGCAGAAGGTGGCTTTGTCTCTTCAGCTTGTTTTGTTCAATGAACATCTGCAAAAGTTAATTACAAACAGGTATGCACCAACCCAGCCCATGCAGATCCCCAGTGCAGCTCAAATGGTGGCAGTAAGTGGAATCCTTGCAGACCCAGATGGGAGTGCCTGAAGCAGAACATTGCCGGGATGCAATCCCCAACTTCACACCAACTTCAACACCTCAACCAGTACTCTAAGCACAGAGTGCATACACTAACTGGGTTCTATACCTCAACTTGATGCTTTAAAGTGCATTGACAAATATATGTCAATAACACACCGTGTGCCAGGCACTTTCTATGTTTTGTCTCATCCTCGTGTACACCCTACAAGCTAACTTCCTACTGTGACTGGTAACCTTCACTGACCACTATACAATAAGGTGGTTGTCACTCTGTGTGAGGATGTCTTTCAGCAGTGGAACAACACCATCAACTGATAACTGTGGCCATCGCATTTCCCCTGAAATAGAAGCAGAGGCTCAGGAAGAACAAGCGATTTCCCCAAGGGTATCAAGACCAGAACTTAAACTCATTGATTCACCTCCTCTGCTCTTTATTACACCTGTGTTAGTGAGAAACAGTTCGGGAGGGAGACTTACTAACATGTATTGAATGCTTCATCGAGTTGCTTATGAATGCAACTCGGCTAATTCTCCCATGTTGACACAATTGACAGCAAAATTATTTTCTATTTGTCTGTTATTTATTTTCTCTCCACTGTACCAAGATGACTGGTGGGCAATGCCAAGCATGAGCTATTTACTTCACAAACTCTGAAGTCTCTGAACAGCAGCCCTTTACACTGTCAGGATCTTAATGGAATGATGCTGCATTGACACTGTGGCTTAACTCTAAGCTGTTCACAAGGAGGAAGCTCACTGCAGAACACACAATCACTAACTTCATCGCCATGAAACACAACACGTCAGGAAATGTAGCATGATAAATAAAAGACCCAGAGACTGATATTGGGGTTCAAGCTTCAAGCTGAAGATCAGAGAAGGAAAGCAGCCAGGAGGGAAACCTGAATAGCAAGAAAAACACATTGGAAAGCATAGGAAAATCACATTAAAACTTTAAATTATAGCTGGCAAGATTGCTCAGTGGGAAAATCATTTGCTGCATCAGCCTGAAGACCCATGCTCGATCCCTGGAACCCATGGAGGTGGAAGGAAAGGACACACGGACACACAGACAGACAGACACACACACACACACACACACACACACACACCATATATACACACCATAAATAAGTACTATTTAAAAAAAAAATAAGCTTTTTAGTTTTTCGAGACAGGGTTTCTCTGTGTAGCTTTACAGCCTGTTCTGGAACTCACTCTGTAGACCAGGCTGGCCTTGAACTCACAGAGATCCACCTGCCTCTGCCTCCCAAGTGCTGGGATTAAAGGCAAGCGCCCTAATGCCCTGCCTATTTTTTTTAAAAAAATTAATATGTAGATGAAAACCTTAAAAACAGTTCTAGAGACAATGGACTCCTCTTGCTAAGGAGCAGCAAGCTCTCTTCTGTTTGAAATAAACTAGCATGAGTAAGAGGAAGGAAAGTTCACAGTTTCTGGTTGACATATTTTAGAAGCGGTTGTATTTTGTTTTTTCTTTCAGTCTGGTGCTGGGCACATCCCCTAGAACATCATCAGTGACGGGCCTCGTTCATTAGAAACAAGTCTCATACCTCAAAAGCTTCCGATCCCCTTCTCGACACGATGGAGTTTAAATCTGCACGCCCAGCACTGCAACACCTATTTATATTGCAAGCCACGGCCGCCTCCTGGACCTCGTCCCCTCCTTGCACTAGCTAGCTTAGCATGGCGCCTGTTCTGTCCCTACGTTGTTTGGGCTCCAGGCCCATCAGGCGAACACGAGGGAACCCGTTCGCTTGCATGGTTTCCTACTAGAATGTCCTCATCTAAGCCACTGTGAAGCCTGCAAGAGGTTTTTTTTTTTTTTTTTCTGCTTTGTATTCTAACATTAATGTACAAAGAATGTAACGTTAATATACAAAGAAACATGTGGGAAAATGAATGAAAATGTCGATTTTCTGGGCCACACTCTGTCAACCTTTCAGGAGCTTCATAGCTCAGTGTTCCACGCGGCCGGCCGCTACCTGCTATCTCCACCGTGCCCCATCTATATCCGGGCAGCTGTTGTCCCACAGGGCTCTGACACATTTCAGTTCTGTTTTCCTTCTCACAGATCAACAGAGAACAAAATCCATCTAGTGTCCGAATAAATGAATCACAACATTTCAAATCAGGTAAACCGGGGTTAAACTTCTGTGGAGGTCAATGTTAGCCCGGCTGTGCTTAGGTACAAAAACACAAAACAAAATGAAACAAAACAAAGAAAAAAAAATCCCACATAAGACGCACAACCTGATTTTCAAATGTCTTTCTTGCAACATCCCGTCTTCTTTCTCCATCTTGGATGCCTCTTCCTGGGACCACATTTGGCTCCTTAGCTGCCTTCCCTCAATACAAGGTTCCTTACCCTGAGGCTGGAAATCCCAATATAGATGGAGACCTTGCTGACTGAAGCTCTAAGTTTGAGTTCAGCTACCTGGTGGCAGGTCATCCCCCTGGAAACCAGCCCCAGAGCCATGGAACACCCAGTGCTCAGATGTCAACAAGGTCAGGCGGAACCAGAGAGGGCCAAAGCTTATCTCTGACCCGAGAGGGAAACCATTATGCCCGTGAGTGGCTGTGATAATGGGTGTACAACATGGCAACGTTCCATTAGCAAAGGAAGAATCAACTCACATAATGAGAGCACCGGGAGAGAAAGGCCGATACTGTAACAACTGTCACCTGAGATGACGCTGAGACACAGCCCAGATTCATTCCCAAGGCTACCTGAAACGTACAGACGCTCTGCACAAGCTGGCCAGTCACCACGTTATGGGTCTCTCTGTGGAAATTCTCTTCTCTGCACAGCACTCTACTGCCTATGCTTATATTAGAAATTATTCTGTTTTGGCTGGGGGCAGGGGATAGCTCAGTTTGTAAAGTGTTTACAGTGCAAATATGGAAAACTGAGTTTAATTCCCCAGAACCCATGAAAAAAAAAAAAAAATCGGGCACAATGGTGCGCGCTCATCATTGAAGCTCTGGAAACGCAGATTCTCCGGACTCATCGGTCAGCTGGCCTACCACGTGAGCAATCCCCAGGCTAGTCAGGGATCCTGCCTCAGAAACCAAAGTGGGTAGTGACGTTGATTCCTATCCTCTATACTCGCTTGTGCGTTCACTCAAACACGTTCCTTTGGATTCTAAAATCTCCTCTCCCCCCCCCCCCCATTCCTTTTACAGGGACATCTGTTTTACACATAGTGGAGGTGCAGCCTTAAGATGGCCAGGACAGCTCTGAGGTTGTGCGCAGTGATAAACACGGCACACTCTCAACCTATGTCTAGTCCTCTGACTTCAGAAAACCTAATGGCACACGACGCAGCTCCCACCTAGTGTGTGTGTGTGTGTGTGTAAGCTGTAAGTCTTAGATCTAAGTCACCACGTTCCCCATCTCCTTAAACACTTGTCATCTGTGGTGGGATGTGTCAAATGGCTCTCTTCTAGGTCCTAACAAACTATACAATAACTACTGCAAACCTATTAGGCCACGAGAGCTGGGGCTTATCTGACTGACTCAGCTTGCTTCACCCCAGGGCGCTCTGAAAGGCCACCCGGTTTGTGCATCGTACCCACCTCCTGAGCAAATGACTCCGCCTTCTTGCGAAGGTCTCTCTCCAGATCCAGGTTCACCTGCAGCTCCTCATACTCTTCGGCTGCCAGCACCGACACTTGAGGGAACAGAAAAAAGGACAGGGGCAACAGGTGGAGCAGATTACCAGCAATGCGTGTGGAAGAGATTCTTCCCAAGGCACATGGATGGCCGACCTCATCTGTCCCTGGCTGCTGTGGAGTTGATGCGCTTTTACGGAGGGCACTTTAGCAACGTGAATGGAAAAAGATCTAAAACCATTCACGCCCCTAGACTCGACGACTAACGTACATCCTGAAAGAGCAAGTCGTGGGGGGTGGGGGAGGACACAAACGGAGACATGGTGGCAAGCATGTTCTTGGTACTACTGGGGAGACACCAAAGGACCAGTAAAACACAACACAAGCGATGCCACTGTGCCGACAAAGTCACACTGTGAAATCAAACATAAGGGAAGATGCATGCTTTCAAATAAGCAACGTGAATGCATCTCTCGTTTCCTAAATGTTATCTTATGTGTACAAATGCATCGCCCACATGTTAGTCTGTGTGGCACACGCGTGAAATCAGAAGGTGTCAGGTCCCTTGCTTGTGTGTCACCATGTGGGTGCTGGAGATGAACCCTGGGTCCTCTGCAAAGAAGACAAAGGTGCTCTTGGCCCCTGAGCCATCTTCTCCAGCCCAGTCCTTTCTGTCTTTAAAAGACCACAGACACAAAGCACATCACGGGCATTTCACAGGGCAGGACACACATGACAGATATGTGTAAAATGCCAGTCAGGGTTACATAGCGAGACCCCACCCCTCCCTTTGCATCCCCCCCCCAAAAAAAAGAAGAATTACTGTAGAAAAGGTCCTGTCAAATAAACACAGCATGCAGTCTCCGCTGCTTCCGACATTATGTGGCCTACTTTGTTAAAGAATTGTGTGGGCAGGGTGCTGGGAGCCGTGACGCCATTAGGAACTGGGCACAATGCAGACAGGCCGCTGCTGAAGAGCACTGCTCCGAGCTGAGTCATATCAATAAACTCCCGCCAAGACACTCTTAATGGCTGCTTTCACACTCTGTTCCACTGGGCACTTCAGTCCTAACTGACTAAGGATGGGTTTGCTGTGTAATGACATAGAATTTCAAGCTCTGTTCTCCCGTAAACGACTGCCTCCTCAGACAGAAGCAGAATAGTCTAACTCAAGTAAAGTAATGTAAGTGGCGGTTTGTGCTGGGAATTATAGGTCCCTGAGGGCTAAATGACTTTCAAACCTATTTAAAAAAAAGAAAGAAAGAAAAAAAAAGAAATTTCACAAAGAGAACAATGAAGACCATGAGTATCTGGAGCCCTGGGCAGGGACGATCGGCCCAGAACACTATAATAAAAAGTTAATTTTCCTGTGTCTAGGTCCCTTTGACTTGGATTCTGAAAGGACCCAGTCTAGTCCTGGTGGCATGGTCACATATCCCCATTTCTTTCCAGATAGGGGGCTTCCTGAAGGCAAGGGTCATGTGGTGAGCTCCCGTTCTACACAGTACGCGGAGAATGCAAGCTGCATACACTCAAGTCTCACCCATCTCCTTTTCCTCAAAAACTCTAGCCAGTAAGGATGAGAGGCAGCAGGAAGTCCCGTCCACAAACCGAGTGCCTTGGGGGCAGGTCAAAGGGAGAACAAGGGACACATTAACCCTCTGCTCTTGTTGTCTGGGCGCGGCCTCCAGTGTACACATGTGCGAGTTTGGTCCCCGGCGTTAGCATTAAGAGGTGCAGAGACCTTAACAGGGGTCATACTGCTGGGTAGTAGGATATGCAGGCGCTGCCTGGGAGGGAATTAAAGCTACTCGCATGATGAAGTTGGTCCTCACTAGAGTGGGTTACACCAGGCGTGGTAGCTTAAGCCTGTAGTCTCAGCTACTCAGGAGGCTGAGACAAGAGGATCGCTTCAGTCCAGGAGTTCTGGGCCCTACTGTGCTATGCCGATCAGCTGTCCACACTAAGTTTGGCATCAACACGGTGAACCTTCGGGGAGTGGGGGGCTACCAGGTTGCCGAAGGAGGGGTGAACCGGCCCAGGTTGGAAATGGAGCAGGTCAAAACTCCTGTGCTGATCAGTAGAGTGTGTTACAAAAAAACAAACAAACCAACCAGTCCAGTCCCTCTCTCTCTCCCACCATGACGGTGATGTCATCACCGTGGTATGACCTCCATCAAGGAGGCCACCCCAAAGTTAAGCAGATGATGACGTCATACTTCTGGATAATAGCTGAAGCTGAGAACCTATATTCACTTCAAGGTCTCTAGGCCTGTGTAGTTTGTGATAGCACCACACAGTAGACTGATAAGGCCCTCACGGTCCTCTCCATCAGTGATCTTTGTAGAGCTACACCCAGCATCACTCTCTGCACTCAACTCTAACGTCAGAAGCAGTGCCCATGAGACTCCTGCAGAGTTCCACAGCAAGCATGAGATGCTGACCAAATAACGTGGCATTTTCTTTAGAAGTGTCCATTGGAAACATCTCCCTGAAAAGGCAGCGTCCCGTTCTCCTCGTCACTAGATTTGTTTTTATGTAACTCATCTCAATGGGTATGAATCCCTTGCTGTGTTGGCCACTAGAGGCCCGGAGTCATATTTCAGACACAAAGAGTAAGTATTCAAGACCCCAAAGCAAGGAGGGTCAGGACAATCTTTTTTTTAAAAAAACAGAGTTTGAATATGTATCCCTGTCTGGCCAGGAACTCACTCTGTAGACTAGGCTGGCCTCGAACTCATAGAGATCCACCTGCCTCTGCCTCCACAGTGCTGGGATTAAAGTGTGTGCCACTGGCCAGTTTTCAGTATCCTCTAATGTAAAATGTTTTCATGTGTATGCAGCTTTCTGAAGCTCTCCTAGATTCAGATTTACTAACTAGCCCATCAATCCTATAAATGCTAAAGGGGTAAGCAAAAAATAGTTATGGTCCCACAATACACATAGGACAGAAGTTTACAGGTTTGCAGTTTCAAAATTGGTTAGCTCCAAATCCCTCAAGGGAAATAGATTTTATTTAACTTTTTTTAGTGCAGTGTGTGTGGTGTGTGTACTTGAAGTGTGTGTCCTTGTACATCCACTTTTGTGTACGTATACTGGGTGTTTTTATCAATTAGTCTATCTATCTACCTGTCTATGTATCTATCTACCTACCTACTATCTATCTACCTACTATCTATCTACCTACTATCTATCTACCTGTCTATGTATCTATCTACCTGTCTATGTATCTATCTACCTACCTACTATCTATCTACCTACTATCTATCTATCTACCTGTCTATGTATCTATCTACCTACCTACTATCTATCTACCTACTATCTATCTACCTACCTACTATCTATCTACCTACTATCTATCTACCTGTCTATGTATCTATCTATCTATCTATTTACCTACTATCTAGCTAGCTAGCTATCTACCTATCTATTGTTTTCGAAAAAGGGTCTCTCATTGAATCTGATGTACATTGACTCCTCTAGGCTTTTTCAGGAACCTTCCTGTCTCTTATTTCCCTAGTGCTAGGATTACAGGACCCTAGGGGGTTAGGGTCTCACTGTGTAGCTCTGCCCTGCCTGAAACTCACTATGTAGACAAAGAGATCCATCTGTTTCTACCTGCCAAGTGCTGGGATTAAAGGTGCATGCCCTCATACCTGGGTAGAAACCCCTTCCAAATGTCCTCACTGATGATGAAATAATAGACACAAGAGAGAGTCACCAATAAGCAAAACACAGCCTAGGAAAAAAACCTCAGCTCTAGGCACAGGCATAAAGAGGCACCAGATATACGTAAAGCACAATGTGTTGGAGAAAATAAAGACTGAAAAGACATACCTCTGTTGCATTTTTCTAAGACTTTCCTCTGCTCAAGGACTTCTGAATTTAAAACATCTTTTTCTTGCTTAACTTTATTTACCTACAAATGTAAGATGTGGAGAAGAAAAAAGAAACAAAACACCCAAAACTGTAAATAAGATGTATGGCAACAAGAGACCCTCAAGTAGCTGTCCGGCTTTCAATATAGTTCTGTTGTTAAGTGGCAATGCCCATCAGCTCTTTAAGAGCATTAAAGAAAGTTCTGTGGAACTTCAAGGCACAACTGAGCTCCGCTCATTTACTTATTCAACTGACATCCATCAGGCCCTAGGACACAGGATAGTATGTCACCCTCGGATATTTTCAATGCAAAAATCCATGTTGTGATCACCCACAAAACACACCTATCATTTAACAGGTCGATAAGTAGTCAACTTTAGGTTTTAGCTTGAACTTCAAAATTGCATTTGAAGGAAGCACATATTATACATTTTTAAGAAGATAACTTTAAACTTGGATGACTTTTGGCCTAATAAAGTATATCTGTGATATTCTCTCCCAAACTTAAGTTCCTGAAATAACTTCAAACACCAATTAATAGGAACGAATACCATAGAGCAGTTTTTGTTTTGTTTTGTTGTCGGTTTGTTTGTTTTTATTGTAAAGCTACCCAGGTCAAGGTAGATCCATCTCACATGCATTGTGCTGAATTTTAAAAGACAGGTTATACTTACAGATTCTAAAATCACTCAGAATGCCCTGAACCCCTCTAAGCAGGTAAGTACACACACGGGAATGCTAATCACCACGTTCGGAGCAGCAGCTGCTGGGGAGCCTGGGCATGGACTGAAGAGCCAGCTGTGGGGGGTCCCTGCATCGCATTTTACTGTGACCATTGGCCAGCTGAGCAGATGTGTGCAAGACCACTGTCTTCTGCTCCATTTTTTTCTAGATGTTCACAACAGTGAGAATAAAAACAACCCCAACTGTCTTCTAGCAACACCTCTAAGAGGCTGAGCAGATGGTAACAATGTGTTCCCCTCTCTCCTCTTCTGTACTTACACTCAAGAAGCAAACTACAGCACAGGCTCTTAACACAGCCTGGGGTCCATCATCAGAACCTCCAGAGAGTTCATGGACTGTTTCTCTCGAATAAATCTCTCCCTCTTTTTTTTTTTTTTTGGTTTTGGTTTTGGTTGGCAAGTGGCATGCAAAGTCCAACAGGGAAATCCCTCCCAAGACTGCCCCCCCCCCATTATTACTGTGTTCCATACGGTAGGGAGGCAGGAGGGCGTGGCTGCCCAGCCTTTGTGTGCGACAATGCATGCAGGAAGGTAGCTGACCAGGTGAGACTGCTCACTCAGGACACTTGGGGCTGCCGAAATGCTGGCAGACACTGGCTGAGAAACTGAACTATAGACTCTGAGACCCACGGACACCTATTTAATCAAGGTTGTGAAGACACATCCTTGAAACCTTGTTACAAACAGAAGATAACTGAGCAGGGCCCCATGCTCACAGGCGGCCCAAGATAAAAACGTTCTCCCAAATCACCCTTTGACCTCTCTCCTGTTCTGTGGGAAGTACACATAGCAGCAGCCCATCCCCCACTAAGCTGGCTGGCTATAGCCAGGTCTTGCCTTGAATCAGTAATAGTGGCCACAGCTTTTTGGGCGTGGCTTCGGGGGCCAGAAGTTGAAATAGTGGACATGAGGTGTGGCTGGCTTCTCTTGCTCGGGTTCTGAGACAATCGGGTCTTTATTATTATCTGTGTGAGTGTTCCCTGACAAACACCGATTTGTCATTTATCGTGGGTCCAGTGAAATCTTTACACCCTCGCCTTCAGTTGAACACTGAACTCTACTCTCATCTTCCTTCACCGGGCAGCAGAGTATGTGACCTGAGGCAGGAGTCACCATTCTAACAAACTTGCCTCCTATCAATCAAAGTGGGTAACAATGTGTACCCCACACCTCGCAGCCTGACCTCGCAGCCTGATTGGCTAAGCTGGGGAGTGATCCTGATCTTGCTTTCTGTACATTTTATGAATGACTGAAAGGGAGGTTGAAATGAAAGTTGACACATGGTACTAGTATAAAGTTAGTTTTTTGTTTGTTTTGTTTTGAGACAGGGTTTCTCTGTGTAGCGCTGGCTGTCCTGGAACTAACTCACTTTGTAGACCAGGCTGGCCCCGAACTCACAAAGATCTGCCTGCCTCTGCCTCCCAAGTGTGGGAATAAAGGTATAGGCCACCACCACCCAACTCAGATTTGCTTTTAGCAGCAAGTTTGTAATTTAGCAAGCCATGAGTTTAAACGCCAAGGGCTTGGCCTCTCAGGCCTGAGGTACGTACTTCCTCCATCACTTCTGTGAGTTTGCTCTTGAGATTTTCCAGCTCAATGGCTAACAGCTTCTTTTCTTCTTGGACAGACACAATTTGATCTCGGAGTTCTGCAATTTTAGAGGAAGGGATTTAAAATAAACTTTACTTTTCAATTAGCAAAGTAACAGGCTTCCTTAGGGAGTTTTCACTCATCTTTTGTTTTGGTTGATTCTCTGTGCCCCGCCCACCCACTCATGCCCCCTCCCCTACCCCACTTGACTTGTCAAGGTGCCCATAAGATGCCGCACCCCATCTTGGCTCAAGGGCAGAGAGTTCAAAGCTGTCCTCGGCAAATCATAAGACCTAAAGGTCTAAGACGTGGCTACAGTAGGACGTTCAATCTTGGCCTTGGCTGTCTTATTCTAAATAACAACAGACTAGGGAACAAGAAGTTGAATGTAAGGTGTGTTTATTCCTGACCCTCAAGGCAAGGTATCGAGAGGTTGGATCTAAGATGTGTTTACTGAACCATTAGAGAAGGAAGAAATGTTTGCTCGCTGCATATAAACCGTACCATGTTCCCCTTCTTGGTTAAGATGTATAAAAGTGGTGAAGAACGTGGTGATTCAGTATTAACTGCATCTGCCTTCCTGATTTTATTCTGTGTCTCTGTCCTTCCATTACTGTCTTTGGCTAGCTTTTCTTTAGTTCACACACCCTTCCCCCTCCCCCATCCCCCCTCAGGTATGAACCCAGGGCTGCTTGGCTAGCCCTGACAGTAACCCTGCAAAGGCAGCTCACCACAACCACTTGCTCCCCTTGAGCCTCTCAGCACCGCCCTCCTTAAGGCATTGTTTACCCCCCTCATGGACCTCTTTGTAATTTTATGCCATCTGCCCACACTCCTTCCCTTACAAACACACAAAGATAAAAATGAGATGCTAGGATCCATAAATGAGACAGGAACACGTGGTATTTTCTCGTCTGGGCCTTGCTCACCTCTCTTAAAGTAGTATTTCCCGTCACATTCTTTTTTCTACAATCCATAATTTCATTTTCCTGTCTATTGTTGCATGTACATATGTGTGCATGTTCATGGTGTGACTGCAAGTTATATACATGCCAGCACACATGTAGAAATCACATAGAACTCAGGGTGTAGGTTTGCACCTTCCAACCTGTTTGAGCCAAGGTTGGTAGCGGTTTACCCATGAGCAGGCCAGGCTAATCGGCCCTTGAGCTGGGGATGCACCTGTCTCCGACTCTCAGGTACTAGGAATGCTGGAATTACAGAAACATGTTACCCTGTCCATCTTGCACAGCACGCACTCTACCCCAAAGCCATATGGCCAGCCAGTAACTTCATTTCCCTTTACAGCTGAATAAAATCCCATTGTGTGTGTATAGCACATTGTCCTTGTGTATTCATCTGTTGATGGACAGCTAACTCCACTTCCTTGCTGTCATGAATATAGCAGCAGTAGACACAGATACTGGAGTCTCTGTAACGGATGCAGGGCCCCTTGGGTTTGTTCGAAACTGGGGCACCTGGTAGTTCTCCTTATTTTTTAGTTTCTTTTTTTTTTTGGGGGGGGGAACCTCTGTACTGATTTCCATAATGGCTGCACATGAAATAAATTTATTTTTAAGGGAAGATATGGATCTGGGCCAAAAGAATGGAAAATGCAGTTTGTAGTCAAGGTTAATGGACAATTAAAGGGAAAGAAAGGACCATGGAAATGCCACACCCAGCCCAACCCAGCCACACAGGAACTTACACAGGGTAGTCTCAATAATGTCACTGTGTTAAAGGGACCAAAATGAATTTTATTTGCAATCTACCAAAAAAAAAAAAAAATCACACTCTGAAATACTATCTAGCATTTTAAAAGTTTAAAAAAAAAAGTTTTATAGGCTTTCAGCAGAGACAAATTGTATCAAATTCTCTGCTATTTCAAAATGGCCACAGGCTCTTGACATAAAACAAGGTAAACGCCAGTGATTCTAAACCTTCCTAATGCTGAGACCCTTGAATACAGTTCTTCATACTGTGGTGACCCCCTGCAGGAAATTATTTTCACTGCTACCTCATAACCGTAATTTTGCAACTGTTACAAATCATAATGTAAGTATCTGTTTTCTGTGGTCTTAGGAGCAACTTTGTTGCAACGACATTGTAATCTTTTAACTGTAATGAAAATGACTTGTTAAACTAATTCAAGAATAAAATATAACACACATTTATTAAAAGCATAAAATTTTTAATAGGATTAAATGTGGGTATGGGTACTGCCTCCATTTGATTAAGTATTTAGGCCTTCAAGATGGCTCAGCAGGCAGACCCCTGTAAAAGGGTCACTTGACCTGCAAAGGGGGTCACAACCCATAACATAAACAGACAACTGTATAGTTAACCTGGAGTTTCAGAGTGTGAAGGAGGCAGAGATCTTGACTTGAAAATGTAAACAGGGCACTTTCCTCTCCAGGGTTGGGAGTGTTCTGTCTCATCATCTACTTTTCTGATTTAATGGAAGTTATGTTGCAAGGACAGAACACATTAGCAACTGTGACCACAACGGGTTAAACTTCTGGGATCTTGTCACTGCCTGGTCTGAAAGCACCCCTGACTCACACAGGCTCCTTACTTAAGCTTCTGCTCACTCTGGCCCATGCTCTGCCAGCTTTGTTTTTTTAAACAGCCTTTCAATTCTTACCCTTCTCCAAGGGCAATGAGAAACCCGTTACATCACTATTTATAAGTTGAATTAATTTTTTCTTTTTTCTTTTTCTTTCTTTTTTTTTTTTTTTTTGTGCGAACTCAGCTCTAAGTCACTCTCTCCATCAGCTGACTAATTCCAGAAGGAAGAACATGAAACCATATTGTTCAAGACTCAGAAGGGAGAACAATGGGCAGCGGGAGCCCTTGACACCCCCCTCTCCCTGCTAACCAGAAGCTGCTACTTTGCCAGGGGAGTCAGGAAGTCCTAACATTCCCACCTGAGATTGTATCACCCAGGAAAATAATAAGCCCAGTTTTTGAACATGTACCAAGCCACACGTGTTATTGAACCAGGATGTGTTTTCCACCATCTTAACAAAAGATCTTTTTCCAATGATTACAACAGAGACCCAAATACATACAGGGTACTGGCTAAACTGTCTGTCTGTCTGTTTCTCTCTGTCTCTTCTCTGTCTCTGTGTCTCTCTGTCTTTGTGTCTCTCTGTATCTCTCTCCTCTCTGTCTGTTGGTCTGTCTGTCTCTCTCCCTCTCTCTCTCTCATACACACACACAAAACTTTGGTGCTGGGGACTGAATCTTGGGCTTTACCCATGATGATCTCTCTGCTATACCACCAGCAAAGTGAGAGATAGTGTAAACCATGGTTGTGACCTAACACTGTATGCACATGGTGGACACGCCTGCATGCGAGTGAAACAGCCACACTCATAAAACAAAATCTAAAAAGTAAAAGCAAAGCATGATCCAAGCTCTTAAAGGTATGGTAACTCACATTTTCAGCCAGACCACCACACTTTTGAGGATGCCTCATTCCAAAAATGAAAGCAACCCACCAAGCGAGAGAGAGGGACACTCTTGCGACTCTCACTCAGGCTCCCCTGGATAAAATTAATTGTGGTGGTAAGACCCAGGCATAGATACTCTCCAAAATTACTTCAGTGTGTGTGCATGGTGTACGTGTGCTCACGTGTGTACGGGCACACATGCCTACACCCCCGTGTACAAAGGCCCAAGGATGACGCCAGTAGTCCTGCCCTGTCACTCTGTGCCTTACCCTCCTAGGACAGGTGATGGGAGATGTCATTCTGTAAATATGTTTCTCATACTGGTTAATGAATAAAGCACTGTTGGCCAATAGGAAAGGAAGATAGGAGGGACTAGGAGACAAGGAGGAGAGAGGAAGGAGTAAGGAGGAGTCAAGATGGAAGACATGGAGAGAGCAGAACGCCGGCCCCTCTCTCTGGTAAGATGAGACCATGTGGAAATACTTAGATTAACAGAAATGGGTTAATACTTAAGATAGAGCTAGCCAATAAGAAACTAGTAACTGGCCAACAGCATTATATCAAATACAGAGTCTCCGTGTGTTAATTGGGGCTGGCGCGGCAGTGGGACAAGACTGGCGGCGGGCAGAAAAACCTACTCCTTACAGGCAGGGTCTTGGACTAAGCCTGGAGCTTGCTAGGGTACTAACTAGACGGGCTGGCTAGCAAACCCCAGTCATCTTTCTGCGACCACGCCCCCTGGTTCTGGTATTACAGGCATGTACATCCACGCAGGCTTTCATGTGAAGGCCGGGAATTTGAACTCAGGCCCTCATACCTGCTCAGCAAGTCCTCTTAACCACCAAACCAACTCCCAAGCCCCATGTATTTTCAGACTCCCTCCTGAGGTGCTGATGTGCTCACAGAAACATGAAGCCTTGTCCTGGCAGAAGCCATACTCGGTCGAAACAGTGGAATCTCACCTTTGATTTGCTTCTGACACTGGACTGACACACAGGTCTCTACTGTGCCATCCGTGTCAGTGGCGGGGTCATCATCATCAATGTTTATCTCCTCCGTGATTACATCTGGTCCCAGTTTGGCCATGTATAACATGCTGATCCTTTTCAGTGTTTTATTCTCTTTGTTTAGCTAAAAATAAAATAGAAAAGTGGTCATTTTATTATCAGCAGTCAAACAAGTATCTTGGATCTTTCAGACAAAGGAATTAAGTGTATTTTTGTCTTACATACACACTAACATCCAAGATAGAATGTAACGGCTAAATTCAGTCAATAAATAAATCACACCCATGCTTTAATATTAAGTATATTACTTTAAGTGAGGCCTCATTCTTGGGTTACAGCAGCTGCAAGTGGAAGTACTGGCTATAAATATTATGAAATACAATGAGGGTGTGAAAAGATGGCTCAGTGGTTAAGAGCACTGGCTGCTCTTTTAGAGGATCTGGGTTCAATTCCCAGCAACCACGTAGCCACTCACAACTGTCTATAACTCAGTTCCATGGGATCTGACACCCTCACACAGACCTGAATGAGGCAAAACACCGATGCATATAAAATTAAATTTTAAAAAAGGAAATACAAGGAATTCAGGTGCTGGCCAGATAGCTTAGTGGGCAAAAGTGCTTAAACCTGAGGACCTGAATCCCAGCAGCAGGGGATTGAATACCCTCTTCTAGCCTTTGTGGTTCATTTCCAGAACTCAGGGTAGAGAAAAAGAACCAATTCCCCAAAGTTGTTCCCTGACACACACATACTGGTTATGGCATGAAAACAGCCACATTCATAGAACACACGCACGCACGCACAGAGAGAGAGAGAGAGAGAGAGAGAGAGAGAGAGAGAGAGAGAGGAAGATAGGAAGGAACATAAAAATTAGATAAAATATCAACATTTCTAGCCATTAATAGTCTTAATAAAAACTGCTTTATTTCAAGCAAATTTTCTATTTGATGCTGTGCTGAGAATACTGAATACAGGTCTGTTTTCCCAGCTCCATTCTCTTCTGTTCACCTGGCTTCTGTGGGAAGACAATGTCATTGGCCACAGACAATCCGCCAGAATTAGTGCACACGACCCATGGTTAACCAATCAGATCTTTTCTCTAGAAACATGGACCCTGGAAAAAAAAGAGTTTCTGCAAGTCTGGCCCTAGGAGGTGTTACCACCATCCTCCAGGACTGAGAGTAGAAGGGGTAAAATCCCACAGCAAGTGACAGACCTTTCTCCTCCTTTGAAAGAGGAACTATGAATCACAGTGCATCATACGCGGATAGTTTTTGAGGAATTCAGGGAAAGGATCTCATCGTCCTTTGTCTGGCTGTAGATAGAGGTGATCCTGCACCACTCAATTGAGACTTCTCTAACTCCCGAGGCACATAAACTTGCCCTCACGCTACACTACCTGAACTCATCGCCATACGGAAATTTACATGGTGGTCACCTTGGGCACACTGCAGTGACAAGGGGAATAAACCAAATAGCTTTGGATCACATGGCTTCAAATACGTTGTCACTAACCAACCAAAACGGAGGAGCCACACTTGTGAGAAATTGACAAGGTCAAACTGTACCATGAGAACGTTCCATTTGGCCTGGCGGTGGAAGCTCACACCTTTGATCCCAGCACTTTGGAGGCAGAAACAGGCAGATCTCTGTGGGTTCAAGGCCAGCCTGCTCTACAGAGTGAGTACCAGGACAGCTAGGACTACACAGAGAAACCCTGTCTGTAGAAAAAAAAAAAAATTAAACAAACAAACAAAAAAAAAACACAACAACAACAAAAATATTTCTTTTTTTTAATATTGTGTGCATTTATCTATGCAGGTATGTGCACAAGATCACATGTCCCCACAAAGGCCAGAAGAGGGTATCCCATCCCCTCCCTGCTACTGGGATTCTATAAGCTGCTTAATGTGGGCGCTGGGAACTGAACGTGGGTCTTCTGGAAGAGCATCAAACAAACACTCCAGCCACCCCACCCATGCCCCAAAACTCCACTTTTAGTCTGTTTTTTTTTTTTCAAGTCCCAAGAGTTCATCACACATCCTCAAAAACAAACCAAATAAATATCTACTTTACAAAAGACTTCTTATAAATCAGGAGACAAATGCCGTGCACTAAGGGACCCGTTATTAAAAATACGCTTAGGGGACAGGGAGCCCGGTGACCGATGAGCAGGGATAAACCACTTGTCACATGGCAGGTTTGCCTTATACTAATGCCGACACCACACCATGGCTATGGGATTGTCTTCAGAAAACCCTGATGCTTAACATAAGACAATTACAGCTCAAAGGGACAAAGTCTCTCACCAAAGTCACTGGTTAAAACAAGAAAGGCACCTGGAGAGACAGAACTGGGGAGTAAAGTGCTGGCGGGAAGCGCATCAAGAGCTGAGTTTTGGCCCTCAGCTCCTGTGTAAAACACCAGGTAGAGTGGACCGCGACCGTGACTCCAGGGCAGGAGAGGTGGAGACAGGCAAGTCCCAGGACTTGCCGTCCAGCCAGACTGGCTAAAACGGCAGGCTCCAAGTTCAGTGAGAGACCCTGTCTCTAAATATTAGGCCAAAAGGGATAGAGGAAAAGGCCCAAAGTTGAGGTGACCCCTGAGCTACAGATACAGGTACACACACACACACACACACACACACACACACACGCATGCATGCCCATCATCACATACACACAAAATACAAAGGAAGAGAGGAGATGGGGCTGGAGGGATGGCTCAGTGGTTAAGAGCAGCACTGACTGCTCCTCCCAGAGGATCGGGGTTCAATTCCCAACGCCCACATGGCAGCTAATTACTGTCTGTAACAGCAAGATCTGACACCCTTACACAGACATGCATACATGCAGGCAAGCCACCAATGAACATAAAATAAAATAATTTTTTAAAAAAGAGGAGATAAAATAAGGTTGAAAGAAAGCTATGTTTGGACCGCCAATCGCAGAGCATCATGAAGAAGAAGGAGGCACCCTCCCCCCCACACACACACACACCACTCTCTGCTGTCAACACTGTCTGCCTGTCATCTAGATGAGATGACCAGAGCACAGCACTGGCCTGCTCAGAGTCACATATGTCCCAAACGACGCAGCCAGAAATAAGACAAGCGTTCATGTGCTCGCTTTCCATACACTCTTACCGTCCTAAGAGGCAAGAGTGTGTCCATCTGAATGCATATGACACAGAGACACCCTTGGGCACTGGAAAGGTTCCGAGGAACCAACCCTGGTTCAAACACATTGCTTCTTCACTCATCCCAGAAGAAGTGAAGGGAATGGAAAGAGCATCCAGAATCATGGACAGAAACACTGGGACGTGAGGGCCAGTGGAAGCAACGTGAGCCAGCCCGCTCTATCAGTGTCCTCAGAGCAGCCACCCATAATGTTGTGCGTGCATTAGACAGGATGGAAGCTACACGGGGAAATTCATGTTCCTAGTTAAGCTCTGATTCCGTATCTTATGAATCCTGGTGCAGTGTCATTATGCAAACAATTAAGCAGATACCTTTA